GTTTGCACCAACCAGCAGGTGGCGGGTTCCAACCGATGAGTTTTTCTTCCCTTGTTGGCTTTAAGGACGTGCTGAATCTTTCAGCAGCTGCTTTCCAAGTTTTGGCTCAATCTTTTGCTTTGGAAACAATGTAGCTGAACAAGGTAGTTCTCGACAATCTTGTTTCCTTGAATATGAAGTCATTTCGATGCTTCCATATGTACCAACATATGAGGGAGAAGAAGCTATTCCAATCACCAGTTTCATCTATTTCCTCATCTCTTTCCAAGTTCTGAGTCAACCAATTTTCTTGATCTGCTGCAAAGAATTGTTGCTGGCTTTGCTGAGGTACTATCATCTCCCAAACTTGTTTAATCTTTTGACAATCCCTCAAGCAATGGATATTGGTTTCGATTTCTGCCTCACAAAGAGCACATTTGTCATTGGTGGAGAGGTGTCTGTACTTTCTGACACTGTTGGTTGTTAATCTTCCTTTAGCTGCTGTCCAGATGAACAGTCGAACCCTCTCTGGTACTTTCAGCTTCCATATCTTGCGCCAAGGTATTGAACTCGTGCTCGGGGTGTGGGTCATTGCCAATTGATAGGCAGATGCAGTGTTGAAAGCACCAGATGTCGTTGGTTTACAGAATAGCCTGTCCTTCTCAGTGGATAGAGGGTCAAGCAAAAAGGCGCGTAGCTGGTCCAAGACATCATTCGGTAGATAAGCTTCCAGTTCCGCAATTCTCCATCCTGTCTCATCATCCCAGTAATCAGCTACCTTCTTCCCTTGAACTTCCAGGGGGATATCTACAATTGTCCTCTCAATTAAGGGTACCTGCAGCAACCAAGGATCCCACCAGAAATTGGTCAGTTTGCCATTTTTGACATTAAAAGCAGCTCCCTTTCGGATAAGCTGGGCAACTTGATTAAAACTTTGCCAGGCGTGGGAGCTTCTTCCCTTTTTTCCCTTCAAAATTTGAAGCCCTTTTCTGTCACAGCTGTATCTGCTTTTGAGGGTTTTAGCCCATAACACTTTGTCTTCTGTGATCAATCTCCATGCTCCTTTCGCCAACATTGCTTGATTGGCTAGCCTAGTGGATCGGATTCCAAGACCTCCTTGAGCTCGGGGTAGAGTCACTTGATTCCATGCCACTGTGTGAATCTTGCTTTTGTTGTCCTCTTCTCCCCAGATGAAGCGCCCGTTACATTTATCGATAGAAATTGCAAACACCTGCGGGGAGAGATTCGAAGAACATAGGATAAAGAGCTACATTAGAAGTTACAGCCTTAACCAAAGTCATCCTGGCTGCCATGGATAAGTGTTTTGACTTCCAACTAGCCAGCTTTCTCTGAATTTTAAGTAAGAGCTCCTTGTAGCGGTTCTTTGAGATTCTGCCATTAATCGCCATTAGCCCCAAGTATCTCCCTACATCCAAGGTAAGGGGGATCCCTACCCGAGTGCTGAGGTGGAGAGCCTTGTCTCTGGCGATGTTAGGGGAGATGAACATGACCAATTTGCTCAGATTAACCCGTTGTCCTGAGCTGGAACAGAAATCATCAAGGCATTTTCTTATGATATCAACTTGTATACTCTCTGCAAACAAAATAAGATCGTCAGCAAAGAAAAGGTGTGAGAGTTTTGGCCCATCTTTAGACCGTGTAAGCGGTTTCCACAATTTATCATCAATTGCTTGTTCAATTTTATGGGCTAATCTCTCCATACATAAAATGAAAAGAAAAGGGGAAAGAGGATCTCCCTGTCGAACACCCCTGGTTGGGATGATCGGATCTGAGAGTTGACCATTCCAATTTATCCTCATTATGTTTCTTTCCATGCAAGCCATGATGCTGTTGATGAAGGATCTAGCCAGTCCAATCTCCCCCAGAGTGTCTCTTATGGAATCCCATCTAAGACGATCATAAGCTTTTTCTAAATCTATCTTGATCACTAAGCCACCCTTATGACCTTTCTTGTTGTGCAGATAGTGAAGGGTTTCTTGCAGCAGGATAATATTATCAGTGGTCTGTCTGCCCTTAATAAACCCACTCTGATTTGGAGCAATGAGCTTTGGCATCAACGGTTTAAGCCTGTTAGTGATCGCCTTAGTCACAGCTTTAAGGGCCACATTGTTCAGACAAATCGGTCTGAATTGCGCTGGTGAATCCGGTTGCTCAGTCTTTGGGATGAGAACAATTGTGGAATCCAGAGTGTCGCCAACCATGTCTCCTGTATCAAAAAACTTAGAAGCCATCTCAGTAAGACTTTTCCCAACTATCGGCCAAAACTTCTGGTAAAAGATGGCCTGAAAGCCATTCGGAGCAGGGGCAGAATATGGTTTCATCTTGAAAATGGCTTCGTGGAAGTCTGTGATTTGGAACGGATGATGGAGCATCATGATATCCTCTGGCCGTAACCTAGGGAAAGCATTACAGGGCATGAGATTCTCATAGTGGCTGTTGTCTTCTGTATATAGCTTAGTGTAAAAATTCAGAACCATGCGAAGAAGCTCCTGTTGATCCTCAATCCATTCACCCTCAGCATCACGCAGGGTTATGATTTTATTTCTTCTTTTGCGTCTTGTTTCTTGGTGATGGAAGAAGGAAGTATTTTGCTCGCCAAGAGTGACCCAATTTTCTTTGGCTCTTTGATACCAAACTAATTCCTCTTGGGCCAGAACTTGATCCAACTCATTCTCCAGTTTAACTTGCAGCTTAAGTAATCCTGGGTTGAAAGCATTGGCTAGGCGAGTGGTAATACCCTAAAGACGGGCCAGGAGGCGTTGTTTCCTTCTATGAATGGAGCAAAAAACCTCCCTGTTCCATCGTTGCAATTTTGGCGTGACATCATCCAGGGTTTGCTGCATAGGAAGATTTTGATTCCAGTTCTCAGAAAGGAAGCTCGAGAACCTATTGTCTGTAGTCCACACTGCTTCAAATCTGAATTGCTTGTCCATAGGAAGATCAGAGAGGTGCTGATATTGAACCGAGGTAAGGACAGGCAAGTGATCAGATTGAAACTTAGGGAGATGTTGAACTGTCGTGTGGGGGAAAGCTAAGTTCCAAGCCGTGTTGCAAAGAGAACGATCAATCCGACTTGCTTTCCTCGAACTTCGAGTGTCACCCCTGAACCACGTGAACCGAGGCCCCTTGAACCCCAGATCAATCAATTATGCCTCATCAATCCATCGACAAAGCCGCTGACATCTCCGCAAAGTGACATTCGAGCACATCCCAAGCTTCTCATCAGGAGTGCAAAAAGCATTGAAATCCCCTGTGACCAGCCAAGGGATTTCAAAAGAATTGCTCGTATGAATAAGATGTTCCCAAAGAAGCGAATGGAAACGGTACTTAGGGCTACCATAGACTCCAGTTAACAACCATTCTTGCTTGCTGGGAGAGTCAATCTTGATTGTAATATGTTGTCTGCTGGCATTGATAAGGTCTACCTTAAAATTGGCAGATTTCCATGCCACCCAGATGCCCCCAGACTTCCCAACAGCATCCACCCTAACCACTTCGTCAAAACCCAACTTATTACAAACAACATCAGCTTTATCACCACTAATTTGAGGCTCCAGCAAGACAAAGAAATCCGGTTTGTGGGTGGTGGTAAGGAGTTTGATAGCCCGCAAGAACTTCCGGTTACCTACACCACACACATTCCAACTTAGAATTTTAAAATTAGGAAGACTAGACATGATAACAAAAATCAATAATGAATGAAAACAACAACGCAGGAACAAGAAGGGACAAGAAGGGTCGGAGAGGGATTAATGAGCAAGCTCGGTCGCTTGTGCTTTCGATCCTTCGGGAACGTTTCCAGCTTCTATAGTCATTTCTCCCACTGTTTCCACCATTGGAGTATCCTTCGGGGTCTCTTGATTCGACTTGTGGGGTTTGTCTCCTTTGATCATAACTTGAGAACAGAAATTCTCTATCTCTTTCATAGTAACCGGGAGATGGGCGTGCTTGGATCGTTGAAGAAAGTCTCGTTGGGTGGAGGTCTGGATTTGAAGCGGCTTCTTGACAGTCCTGAGACTAACTCCCTTCTTCTTTTCTTGCGTCGGTGAAATCTCCAATTTCCTCTTGGAATAGTGATGTCGAATAGATTTAGCCTCAATGTTGGGATTCTGGTTTTCTTTGGGGGGAAGAGTCAGATCAGGGACGGAGAGAACACGAATCCGCGTTCCATTCTCGTCTTGGTTTAACTTATATACTCTATGCAAATCTGTCCAGAGAAGTATGTTATTTAATATGTGTTGCTGCTGCTATTAGAAACCGAAGTCGTTCGGTTTGAGCGAGCAATGCTCTTTCCAAGTATGTTTACATCTGCGATCCATCATGTATTTTGGTTTCTGAAACTTATGCTCAGTATTCTAACTATCAGTCAGTTGTATGTTTAATTAATTGTTCATAACAAAATCCTCCCCCTGTCCGGCTTTATCTCAGTCACACCTCTCTTCTCCTGTACGCCAATTTATGTTGCAGCTCGTTCGTTCACAAAAAAGTTTGAGGCTGGCAGACTACGATAAACGACATGGTTCTGTTGCTGCACCCCATTTACAGTTATGTATCTGCGCACTCAACAGGATCCTTAATGTTGATACCATACCACATACATGGCCTTCATCTTTGATGTCTCGGGGGCAACATATTTGTGACTGCCAAGGGATGACATTGATCTGGCTTCGGTTGGCTCTGCTACCAGCTCGGGCAATAACAGGAATTGAATCCAAAAAATTCAATTCCAACGGTCGAGTCACTTTCATTGATGAATAAGAAGATCAAACCGGCATCGTTTCCAGTGGCTAATTCCTTTTCTACACTGCGACACCGTTTTAGTCATCTTTCTTCCTTTTGTTTGCTGAACTTGATACGCATCGTTTTACTCTGTTTCCTTTTTGCTCAAGCATCGAGCTTGTTTCTACTCCAAGCTAACAGACAAATGTGTTAAGCTGGATTGTCTTCTTCTGTATTTTCCTTGCCTATAAAGGCAGATCATCTCAATGAGAACAACTAAGCTTAGGGTTTCACACCATCACACAACTGTTTTCATGGTATCAGAGCCCTAGGCGCCGCCATGGCTACAAACAACAACGAAAACCAAGATGCTTCTGCATCTGACCCAGTATCAAATACACTCTATCCCATGGAAGATCCTTACTTCCTTCACAGTTCTGAACAACCTGGTTCTCTTCTGGTGGGTGAAAAGCTCGCTGCAATAAACTACAACGACTACAGCCGCGCAATGTTCAATGCCCTCGCAGCAAAGAACAAGCTGGGCTTCCTGAATGGTGCTATTCGTGAAACTGCAGAAACAGATCCCAAAAGAGGAGCATGGGTTAGGAACAACATCATGATCCTCAGTTGGATACAACAATCGGTTGAATATGACCGAAAAGATACTCAACAACGAGAAGATACTCAACAGAGTTTGGTGACCGAAAATAGTACAAAGTATCAACAGAAGGGTAGTAAAAGTAAAGGAGCAAGGAGAACACCATAGGACGCTATAGGAAAAAAATGAAAAAAAGTGGTTGTCGACCGGACAATGAATGCGTGATGGAAGATAGTTGGGACGTGGTCAAGCACCATCGTGAGTAGAAGTCGTGGGTTTCATTTGTCAAGTCTACCTAGAGAAAGTTTCTAGTGGAAATGTTGGCTCTGAGGTATGGCGAGGAGCTACTAAACTTAGTAGATCAAAGCTAGTACCAAGCATCGATGAAGGAGTTGTGGAAGTAAGGAGGAAACCACAAGGCTAGAATGAAAGTTACGGTGAAAAGGGTGGTAGTTGATAAAACGACAAATTCAGGGAGAAAGATAGTTAGGAAGAGCCGGCGAAAGAATACAAAGGTCAACAAGGAGGCGTTAAGGTGATTGCCGGTGGAGAATAAGTTGGATCATAGGAAGCCCATCAAGAACTGAGAAGCTCAATGGTACCTTATCGGGCAAGGTACATAAGTGAGAAGAGAATATGGGCACCAAGATGACTACATCGAGGACGAGGGACATATAGAACTAGCGGGAAACATTGGTAAGAGGAGTCACGAGTAAATAAGTAAGATGGATATGAGTTTAACAACCTGCTAGGATACCCTAAAGTGAAAGCAATACCACCTATGAGGGTGAAATGTGGTGATCCCTCGAGTGAGAATTTCTTGGACGGGGAAACGGTACGAGGAATTTCAGGCAAGGTCAAAGAACAATAGAAGAGATCGTACGAGAACTCCCAAGTCAAACGGTGATAAGGAAGTGTTAAGTTAGGCGCCATGAGTGAAAAAGTACTCAAAATGGAAGGTCGTGATTCTGGAAAGAAGTCATAAAATTGATCGCAAGCTAGAGAAAGATGCAAAGGATGCCTCTAATGCATACAGAAAGTCGAAGCAGTAGTATGAGGTTCTAGCACTAAGCAGCAAGTAACGAGAAGGTGACCATTCGATTTATGGTTAATGGATAAGACGAGGCATTAAGGAAGAAAGTAAGAGATGAAAAGTTAAGAGATACAAGGACCTAGGTGATCTATGAGATCAACCCCGGACGAGAGTTATGTTAAAGGAGTTCTACCATCTGACTGAATAGGGGATAAGCCGTCATCAATGACCATGAAGTTGGAGAGGGGTAGTACCTTCTCATATACCGAATAAGGGATAGGTATCGTTCCGACAAATGTCCAATGTGCAGCCTAGGTGATGTGAGGGGTTAAGAAGCCACAACAACATTGAAGTTGCAGGGAATGGAGAGAAGGATTTTAGGTCACGTCGTATAAGTTAAAGGAAATACAAATCCTCGAAGTGAAAAGGATTACCACAAGCGATGCTTAGGATAATCACAGTGGACGAATTTCGAGGGCGAAATTTCTATAAGTGGGGAGGAAATGTGATACCTCGACTTCGATAGGAAATGTGATACCTCGACTTTGATAGGAAAATGTGATACCTCGGCTTCGATAGGTTCAACATCAAGTACTGGGCCCAAGTTTGAAAATTTTGAAAAGGGCAATGAGTCACTCAAACCTATTCTATGCTACCAAGCTAGATGAGAATATATGTTATGGTCAAGAGTACATATAAGAACTATAATAAGCTATTTAAGACCCAGCTTCGACTTGGGCCCCGGTGTATCTTTCTTGCGGGCCTGGATACCCTCACCATTCTCCCTGGCCCGTTGCCCTTTCTTACCGCCGCCCATCCCATCTTCTCGGCCGGGCTTTGTAAGCCCACGATTGGCTTTGCGGTCTTCCTTTGGGCCGAGTTCAGCATTCCTCTTCACTGGGCCCAATTTTTCTTTTCCTTTAGTCAGACGCGAGCTGTGGAGACCCAAATTCAGTTTGGGCAAGCGGGTCACAGAGAAGCCCTTCTGATTTTGCCTGGGAGCCGGATCGCGCAGGTTGTCCTTCGGTTGCCTCTGCCCATCCACGACCGAGTCCTGGCCAAACTCAATCCGGTCCAAATCTTCCTTCGCAACAGCATCAGCCAATTTCTTTGCTTCTTCCTCCTTGCGAGGCAGCATTGGTTGGTGTCTATTCCCCTGAATATTATTATTGACCCAAACGGTCTTTTTCATCCCAGGTAACGGGATGGAAATATCATCTGCATCATATATTCGAGTCCCCAATTTCTTGGTCATCATATGGGGCCCAAATCGTTCCTTGCGAGATGGAGGATCAAACGCACATTCGCGTTGAAAGTGTCCCACTCTCCCGCAATGGAAACAAATGGATGGGAGATGTTCATACTTCAATTGCATCCAAAAGTGTCCCGTTTCCTCACTAGCCGCCATTATTTGTGATCGCAGGGGGCGAGAGAAATCAATCATCGCTTTGACCTTTAGGAAATAGGTCCCTGTATCCTGACAGGAGTAGACCCCTGCCTTGAGGACTTGGCCAATGGTGGGATTCGCCACCTTCATTCCAAATTTTGCTGTACAACAATCCTCCTGAACATCCCAGAGCTGCACCCGAAAAGGCGCCACAGCAAGCTCTTCGTAGGTCTGTCGAGTGACAGCCGGGGTCCATGATTTTAGATGGATGATCCTATCATTGATCACCCAAGGGGTCCTTTTCAACACCCACGTCTTGGATTCTTCATTAGGGAGAACGAATTCGAATAACCCATGGTTTGCTTGCAACACTTTGATTCTCCTTTGCATTGCCATGGCGAATTTACCGCCTCTCGAAGTTCAGCAGGTGTGACGCGAGCCGTTGTGAAGACCCGGCCAAGAAGCGTGTGCGAGCTACGCACTTTCACGGACTGGACTTCATTGAGAGAGAAGTGAACTACTTGATCCTCACTGATCGGCGTGGCCATAGTGTCCTGTGGAGGCGCCAACTTCCAGAAGAAATCCCGGCTCTTCTTTCCACCGTCCCAACCTTCACGTTCCAATGGTTTAGAGACGAGGTGTGAAGGATTTAAATAGAGCTGTAATCCCAGGAGTTGTATTTCCGTATGGTTTGTTTCCACACGGTTTCCCGACGGGCCACGCAATCTCGGATTCGGATATGTGATTAACTGATCAATATCCTCATCCCTGCGCCCATCCAAATCCTCTCCCTTAACCGTTTTTTTGAATAAAATATTATTAACCAAAACCCTTTTTGGTTGTTTGTTGCACCGGCGAATATTCCGAGAGATATTCCCTCCCTTTGTTCTCGTAAAATCTGGTATTCTAGACTCCGAGAAATCCCAACCACTATCTCGCCGCCGGGGGGAGTTCCGCCGACCGCCACATTGTCGTCGAAAGAGATCCCACCAGACAGAAGCTGGGTGGGTACACTCGTGAACAATACGATAAGAGGTTAAGGCCAGATCATTCACGATGTTCTCCGCCACTTGGCAGAGGTTTGGATCGTAGTCTAGGGACCCCCACCGGAATGCCAACCCAACGTCATGGGAACGTCTCCCCAATCCTTCGTTGGTTATGCTCGTCGGTGTACTCCCACCATGGGGGCTGCACCGTCTTGGCCGTAATTCAGGGTATCTTTCATACCCAGGCCCTCCAATTCTTCCGGCGAAGGTAGCTTGAAACGCCATCCCTTCTTCTTCCAGACCAATGGTCTTCTCTTTGTTTGGGAGTAGTTTATATCACACTCCATCATTTTTGTCACCAACTTCCTTTTCTGACCCCTACGCCGCGGATGGGCACTTCTCTGCCGTTGCCAGAGCCCGTACCCTGTTTCCGGCGCAGCGTGAGGAGATGAACACGAACCCTCAAGCACCCTCTTTGCCTTTGGCTCTGAAATCCATTGTTTTTGGCATTTGGTGATGAACGCCACAGCATACAGCTGGTTGCATAGACTCACAAACAGCATCCGCCTTCCCATCTTGAGAAGAGTACGGCCGAGCCATCGACAGACGTAGAGGAGAGAGGAGAGAGCACTCTCCACATTTTTTTTTGTTTAAATTCAACCACATTTATCTTAATAAACTTTAATTATTCAATAGAAAAACCACATACACAAATGGGACACCAAATCAAATGAAAGACGTAACAAAAACATAATCAACACAAGATTAAAACCAACAAAAACCATGTAGTATGGCAATAGTTAAAATCACATTTTAAAAATCGTCAAGAGAAAGCCCGGTTCCTTGCAACTTCAACTGTGTGAGTTGGTCGACGCGTTTAGCCATCTGGGGAGTCAAGCAGCTCTTCCAATCCCCCACAGTTCCTTTCCTGAAAAAGGTGTTATTGGGTAGTTGGTAAGGTTCCCAAACACCATTTTTGTTAACCTCCAACTCCTTGAGCCTATTGAAACTGCTACGCCGCAACACCTTCCCCACCTCTGCATCTCCATCCTCCATCGAGGAAAAGGGCCTCCCCATGAACGAAGCCAGCTTCCGCACCTGTTCTTCGGGGTCTCTACACAGCTCCTCGTACTTGAGAAACAACACCTCCTCCGGCCGCATGTTGCTCTCTTCCCAGTAGCCCACCACGTGCTCGTAGAAAGGCCCCCAGGGCAGAACCCCACTGCAGAAGCTCTCCACCGCTCTCTCCACCAGGAACGGGCCATCGGGCGTCGTCGTCGGTGCGTTAAGTTTCAGGATTTTGTTGTAGAAATGCCACATCGACACCAGAGTGTCCTTTGGGTTCCGAGCCACGTGGACAATCTTGCATCCGGAGTTCCTGACGGACTCCGGCAGACAATTGTAAGGCAAATGAGTCTGCAGCAATCTGCCTCCGGATCGACCCGGATTGAGCAAAAGATCTTGGACTTGGTCTGAAAGAAAGTTGATGTCGAGCGGGGGAACGAGTTCGTGCGGGTTCATCTTCGTCAGAACGTCGTCTTCTTCTTTTTCGTCGTCGTCGAGGCTAAGGATGTTGTGGCAGAGAGCGATGAGCCATGTTGTTCCTGTTTTGGGGAAGGATGTCAAGAGAATGTCGTCCCTTCGCGGCTGGAACTCTGACCTGAATGCCGCCATGGATTGCATCGTATTTGCGTAGAACCAGAACCCTTCTAGCTGGAAAATCTCGTGAGAATTCCAAAACACCTCCCTTGGTGCAAGTTGGTCCATCTCCTGGCTACCCATATTAATTAATGTACTAGCTAGCTAATTGCCCGATATTTTAGCTAGATTTAGCTTGCACTTCTCTATGGCGCAGGTGAGGTGTGGTTTATATAGCAGACTAATTATGTTGTGATCAATTATTGTTACAAATTTGATTCCTCAACTTGTTCTTCTTTTTCCAACGTAAACCTAAATACCTAATCACTTGCAAAGTCAATAGGTAGACAATGATTAATTATATAAATGACGGAGAAAAAGAATGTTAGTTGTCAATTTACTTGGCTAATAACCTGTAAAGTTTCTAGAACTGTGTGTAGCTAGAAAAAGACAGAAGAACCATAACAAACAAACAAACTTTCTTGCCTACCAATACTATGTGCTGAATCTTTTTTCGCTGGACCTTAGGATAGTTTTCTCGAAATATTAGCTAGAAAATTTCCTTAACAGTGAGAATAACTCAAAAATAACTAAAATTATTAAACTAAAAGAAGAAATTATTAAGATAAAATAAATATAAATTATGTTCCAATCTTCTTATATTATTAACCATAGACAAAAACACATATTTATATATAATTACACAACCAAATTCATTTTCTTCTCCCCCTAGGCTTATGCTTTTCTCCTTGTTCTTTTCCATCTAGAATTCATTTTCTTCACTTACAAGAAACATTAATTAAATACTACTCATCCTAGACCAACTAGAACAAATATAGTAATTAATAACCACAAATAATTCCATAATAATAACTAAATACCAATAATTAAATAAATATATTCTTTAGGTTGTCACGTCACCTCTACATCGTAACATTTTGACATGTCTCGATCAGTGTCGCAGGTGCATTACCAGTCTACTGAGTAGCATAGAGTTGTATGTGGGTTTTCAGTTAGTCGTGTCTCGCTTATATTATATTTTTGTATATTTTATTTAATAAGAGTGACATAGGTTGCTTTTTATAGTTAGGTGTCACTGAAAAAAGGATTTGGACCTGGAATCTCCATATTGATTTTTATTTGTTCTACTTCAATCTCAAATTTTCTACTATTTATTTCTGAAATACTACATCTACGACCTTATGCGAGCTTCCATCGCTCTCATAATTTGAATAATTAGTCATTGACATTTAATTTTCAAATTAACTAATTGGGTGTGACCATCCAGTACAACTTGACCATATATATAATCAATCAAAACACATGTAGCCATGTTGTGTTTAACTCGATCCGGATTTTTTATATGGACACTTGAATTTGTACAGGCCTTAATCACGTAGTCAGGTAACCAACCATTTTTTACAATATTTCGCAGGCCTTAACCTTGTTATATTACTATTAATGTCTTGATCTTATCTTCTGCAGCCCTACGTAGCCCAATCATAAATGCAACCTTTCCATTTTCTTAATACAATTAGACTTTTGAATTTGGAAAAGATAATACAACTAGGCTACATTCAGGAAAAATAATATGCTCACTGTAAGATTAAAAGGTAGCCAATCACAGTCAGGCAGTCATGAATACTGCTGTTGCATTTTCTTATTACAACTGACCTGCTCTCTCTCTCTCTCTCTCTTGTTTGAAAGAATATGAATACAAGTATTCAACTAGCAAGATTACATTCACGGGGATATAGTAGTAAGACCTTTTTATGAAATTTATATGGAATAAAAAATCCCCTGTTATTATAAACAATCTACAAATATATAATAGCAAAGTTAAAAGCATTTTTCAGCATTTTAATTTAAAGCATTTTTAGCATTTTAATTTTCCTTTAACGAGAGTGAAAGTAGAAAGAACATATTTGTCTTCACGATTATTTATTTTTTATTCATAAAAAATACATCAATCATGCGATTTGAACCATGATCTCTGTAAACAAAGACATCAATCATTACTATACCTCTCAGCTTTCCTTGCATACGTCATCTGCCCCTCCTTGATCAGACACATGGCCTCGTGCTGCTCGACATCCCCTAACAGGAATTCTTCATTGCTTGAGTAGTGACTTTTACTGGATGGGCGCATCGAGGGCAGGGTGCTGGTGTGGGTTTGTTAAGATATATATCGGTTATGTTATAGAGCTTAAGCCCATTGTATGCTTATGTTGGACGTGTAGGTTTTGGACTTAGAGACTGTCGAGACTTTCCCCTTCCTCATAGAACTCGACTAGTCTTATTATGGACGTAGGGTTGCGGTGTGTAGGCATATAAATATGCCATGTACGTATGTGTTGGGTAATTGAATAAGAAGAACAACTACTTCGGCCGTGGACTAGTCTCGTTCTCCCTGAACGAGGAAACCACGTAAACTCTGTGTCGATTATCTTTCTGTTTCAATCTTTCGGGTTGATTAACATGGTATCAGAGCCTGATGGAATCAAATCACATCGCAACCCGTCTCAACTCCAAGAACTACGCATTATGGGAATTTCAGTTTCGAATCTTTGTTGAAGGTCATGGCATGTTCTGTTAAATCAAGATGAGTATGAAGCAAAGAAACTTGTATTTAACAGTAAAACAGAGGTACAGAAAATCTTCACAATCCCTAGCCACGCCAAGAACCTTGGCACTTTCAACAGCAAAAGGAAACACTCAATCCCAACTTCCCAAGACTAGATCACCCAGTTTACAACTCCTGTGATCTATCTACTGAAGAAAGGAATGAACTTAGCCCATGATACAAGAGTATATCTCGATCTCTCTTAATACCAACTGCTACAACTTGAAATCAAAGACCTACTTACTATTTATACCGTACAAAAAGATGACAGTTCCCTACACAAGGCGCTCATGCGCTTCTGATGGATCCTTGGATTACTAGCTGAGTAGAGGCGGTGGAGAAGGTCGGTGGAGAAGAGAGCTTCGAAGTCGGTTCATCGATCTCTTGAGAAGAGCAGAAAATGGTTGACTCAAAAAGAAGGAGACCAACTGCGAAGGACGAAACCAGATTTGTGACCGTTTCCTTGGTATGCCTACGACATCGTTTTAGGCTGAGTAAAGCATCGTCGTTTCAGTCAACAATTTCCCCCTTCGTCCAAGTAGTTGAGTAACCTGCAAGGCAAAAATAACAAACACACCAGCAGACCAAGAATCCTAACGGAAAACAGAATTTGCATTAATTAACGACAGTTACAAGGAGAACAGCAGTACAAGGGGGAAAGAGAAAGCAAAATGTGGGGATATCGAAGATATTCCCCCTAACTACTTGGAACTGGATATCAGTTCCCCGTGAACACAAAAGAACTTGTTCCCCCTAAACACAAGATACTAAACGAGAAAAACATAAAAAAACACAGCTAGAGAAGAACTAAAGAAATTAGGCAGGAGGAGCAGAGGCAGCAGAATCATCAGAGGAGCCACTGCCTTCAGAGATAGAGAACACAAGGTTCCCAGACTTGCTGGATTCACCAGCAGATTTTGACTTCTTCCCAGAGGCTCCTTTCTTAACAGACCGAGACTTTGGAGGAGCACCTAGAAGAGATGCAGAAGGAGGAGGAGGAGGAGGAGGAGGAATATCAGTTGGCAAGTCAAGTATCATCAGCACATTAAGTGCACTGACATACATAGTGGAGGAGATACTTCGAAACTCGGATAGGTCAACACCAAGGTTGATTAGTAACCTGGTGATAATGGATCCAAAAGGGAGGAGACCCTTGTAGTTTTCGTCTCCTACAGGGAGGAGCTGACCAAACATGATGCTTGCAAAGTCAAGCTTTCGTCTTGCAGTTGCATTGGCAATGATCCAGAGATCCATGGGAAGAACACAGTCCTGATTGTAGGACCGAGGAAAGAAAACATGAGTGAGGAAGTAATGGAAGATCCTCAGTCTGGGGGACAGCCAAGCAACAGGTATAGGGACATCAGAGCCACCAGTTGGCTCAGTGGAGAAGTTGTTGTACTCTATATCAATCTTGAACTCATGCTTCCAAAATTCAGAAGGATGAGCAAGACCGAGTCCCTGAGAGGGAAACCCGAGGATGCCATTAAGAGCATCAACTGGAACAGTCAGCAGATGTCCATAAATCAGAGTGGTAAACCTCCTTGAGCTAATACCAGGACTCTGAAGATTGGAGAAAAAGTACTTGACAGCTCCTGGGCAAGCAGGATGAATAGGTTGACGAAGGAGAAAATCCCACCCAAGCCCTTCGATAAGAGAAATAATGTCGTACTTGTAGACATTGAATTCATATGGATCAAGTTGAGTGATGTGATGAAGCCTTCTCTTATCGAAATGTTGGAGATAACGATGGTGATTGAGCACTCTTGGTTCGTGGAACATGTAACCAGAAAAAGTGTGAACCAAACCATCAAAACGAAACGGGCGAGGCATGTAATCACTCATGTTTGAAGACAAGGGAGTTCTCTCTGAGTCTTTGGATGTTTTGCTGAAAGGAAGCGTGAATAGCAAAACACGAGTGAAGAGGATTTTATAACCATAGGAGATAAGGAGCGGAACGGAAGCTGAAGAGTTTTCCAAGTGGAGCGGGCAGTGAAAAGATGTAATGATTAGATGCGAGCTTCCATGGATAATCCTTGGGACAAAGCAAGCATGAGCAGAAAAAGGCTTATGGTTATCAAACCAAGATACGCAGAGACCCTAGAGTAGAAAAAGGACCTATCGGGGATTAGAGAGAGAGATTTTTGATCTGACACGCAGATTTTAACCCTAGTTCTGTACAAATTTGCAAGAAACGTTCGCTGGGAAGGGGTTTTGTAAATAGGTCGGCTAGTTGAGACTCGGTTGACACAAACTGCAAGCAAATATGTCCTTCTTGAATCAGGTCTCTAATAAAGTGGTATTTTATTTCAATGTGTTTAGTTCTAGAGTGTTGCACAGGGTTTTTTGTCATGCTTATTGTACTTGTGTTATCACAGCATATTTGAATATTCTTGAAGTTAAATCTATAATCAGCCAGCTGAGCTTTCATCCACATTATTTGGGTACAACAACTACCAGCTGCCATATATTCAGCCTCGGCAGTTGATAGAGCTACTGCACCTTGTTTTTTACTGAACCACGAAACTAGAGCAGGTCCAAGGAACTGGATAGTTCCTGAGGTGGTCTTTCTGTCCACTAAGCTTCCACCAAAATCTGAATCACTATAGCCAACCAGCTCGAATGAATCAGAAGTTGGATACCATAGCCCTACTTGAACTGTTCCTTTCAAGTATCTAAAAATTCGTTTAACAGCCTTAAAGTGGCTTTCTTTAGGATTTGATTGAAATCTTGCACATAAACCGACACTGAATTGAATATCAGGTCTGCTGGCTGTGAGATAGAGAAGTGATCCAATCATTCCTCTGTATTTTTTCTCACAAAATGGTTTTCCTTCTTCATCCTTATCAAGTTTCAGATTTGTAGCCATAGGAGTTGGACTTGGGTTTACGAAGTTCATATCGAATTTTTTAAGCATTGTTTCAGTATAAGTAGATTGATTTATGAAGATCCCAGATTTGGTTTGCTTAATTTGCAGTCCAAGAAAGTGTGATAACTCTCCCATCATGCTCATTTCGAATTCTGACTTCATAATTTCGCAAAACTTAGTACACATGTCTGGATTTGTTGATCCAAAAACTATATCATCAACATAAATTTGAACAATTAGAGTTTCTAAGTTTTCCCTTTTAATGAATAGTGTTTTATCAACATTTCCTTGTAAGAAACCTTCATTTTTTAAGAAAGTTGATAATTTTTCATACCAAGCTCTAGGCGCTTGTTTTAAACCGTATAATGCTTTAGACAGTTTGTAGACATGATTAGGATGATTTGGATCAATAAAACCTGGTGGTTGACTTACATATACTTCCTCTTTTATATCACCGTTCAAAAATGCACTTTTTACGTCCATTTGATACAAAGGAATTTTCATGTAACATGCATATGCACATAACATTCTTATTGATTCAATACGGGCAACCGGAGCAAATGACTCTTCAAAATCAATTCCTTCTTCCTGTAAGTACCCTTGGGCAACTAATCTTGCTTTGTTTTTAATTACCAGCCCTTCTTCATCCGTTTTGTTTCTAAAGACCCATTTTGTTCCAATAGTTAGACAATCTAAAGGGCGAGGAACTAGTTCCCAAACATGCAACCTAGCAAACTGTAGCAATTCTTCTTGCATAGCATTTAACCATTCATCATCAAGCAGGGCTTCTTTGAAATTCTTAGGTTCTAGTAACGAAATAAGAGCATACTGACCTGGTTGATAATTTCCTCTGGTATGTATACCTTCATTCAGCTTACCAATGATTTGTGAGGGTGGATGCCTCTTTTGAATGTGAGGTGGTGCCTCCTTCCTTTCTTCTTCTGTGCTTGGTTCTTTACTTGGTTTGGTTTTGTCCTCCTGTCTTTGTAGCTCTTCTTCTTTCTTTTCCTCAGAATTCCCTACTTCATTTAGCATATGAAATAGAAGTTCTATACTCTCTGCACAAACTTTGTCAGTGTTTTCTGATTCATCAAATTTCACGAATACAGATTCTTCCACCCTTCTAGTTCTTAGGTTATATATTCAATATGCTTGACCTTTGGTAGAATAACCCAAGAATATGCCCTGGTCAGTTTTGGAATCAAACTTGTACACATGATCCTTTGTGTTTAGAATGAAGCACTTACACCCAAATGGGTGAAAATATCCTAGATTAGGTGGTTTTTGTTTAATAATTTCATAAGGAGTTTTGTTTATAACTTTTCTGATTAGAACCCTATTTATAATGTAAACAGCAGTCATTACTGCTTCTCCCCACAGAAATTTAGGAGATCCATATTCCAATAACATGGTTCTGGCAGTTTCTATTATAGTTCTGTTTTTTCTTTCCACCACACCATTTTGCTGTGGTGTTCTTGGAGCAGAGAAGGTGTGAGTAATTCCCTTATCATTGCATAGGTCACAAAACTGATCAGAAATAAACTCACCCCCATTATCACTCCGAATAGTTTCTATCCCAGATTTTGACTCAGTATGAATATGATGCACGAAGTTCTTAAAGTTCATGAAAGCTTCATCTTTGGAAGCCAAAAGAAATACCCAGGTATATCTAGAGAAGTCATCAACAAGCACAAAAGCATATGATTTTCCCCCTAGACTCATTACATTTGTTGGTCCAAATAAATCCATGTGAATGAGTTCATAAGGTTCTGTGGTGGTTATGTCCCTTTTTTATTTAAAACTTTTCTTTACCATTTTTCCACCCACACAAGCATCACAACAAAACTTAGGTATTTCTCTTAGCTGAGGTATTCCTCGAGCTGACTTCATTCTTGAAAGAGTTGATAGCTTAGATAGGCTTATATGGCCAAGTTTTCTGTGCCATAACATTTCTAAGTCAAAAGTTTTGGCTTGGAAACATGTCTCACTAAAGGTATTCAGGCAGTTTAAGTCAACCATGTACATGTTGTCCTTTTTAGTTCCACAGAATAGTAACTTATTGTCTTTTATCCTGATAATTTCACACGATGATGATTCAAAGACTACTCTATTTTCCGAGTTGCAGAGTTGACTTATTGAAAGAAGGTTGTGTTTTAGTCCCTTTACAAACAGCACATTTTTTATAGTAGGAAGAGGGCTTTTGCCAACTGTTCCATTACCTATTATAATTCCTACACGATCATCTCCAAAGACTACCTTTCCACCTTTTTTATAACTTAATGAAGAAAATAATTCCTTATTACCTGTCATGTGGTGGGAGCAACCACTGTCCAGAAACCAGATATTCTCATTTTCTCCCAAATTCTGCAGTCAATTAGAGATTAGCACATTTTGGAACCCAAAATGTTTTGATAGTAGTAGGCCTTTTTAGTTTGTCCAAATCATAACAGAAACGTGCTAAATGCCCTTTTCTTTGACAGTAAGAACATGTGTAGACCACAGGATAATTCTTATAATTCCTGTTCAAATATTGCTTTTTGCCAGAAAAGCTTGAATATGACCACCTATTATTTTTGGTCTCTCCTTGCCAATTCCTGTTCTGAGCGTTTTTAGCTTTGCATATCTCTCTCAACCTTTGATTTTCGTTTTTTAAGTTAAAAATCTCTGTATTTAGGTTTCTGTTCCACTCGTTTTGAGTGGTTAATGATTTGTTTAGTGACTCAACTTCAACTTTTAGTGACTGGTTGTCAGTCATGAGTAAACAGTATTTGCTTTTAAGTCTATTGCATTCTTCCTGGAGATTTTCTAGAGCATGCAAGAAATCAGTTTTTGTATATTGCTCACTATCCTGTTCTGAATCAGAATCAGTGATTACCTGATAACATGAAGGGTATTGGTGATCAATGCTGGTAGTAGACTGTTCCTCACCTTCATTTCTTGTTGCAAAAGCCATATATGCCAGATTCTTCTCTTCTGTTTCTTCATCAGTGCTGAAATCACTCCAAGAGGTAGCAAGAGCCTTTTCTCTGGCTTTTGAGCTTAGAGGGCATCTAGACCGCACATGGCCTGGCTTTCCACACTTAAAGCAAATCGTTAGATCTTTCTCAATGGAAGACTTGGTGTCTTCCTTATCGATTTTATACCTTTCACGACCTTCAAACATTTTGTCATGCACTTTTGATAAATTTTTCTCAAAATATGATCGATTTGAGTTATGTCTTTCATGTGTTCTGGGAGGTAGTTTATCAGTTCCTTCTCTTTCTCCTCTATACAGGTTAGAGTTTTGATATCCTCTTTTAGCCTGAAACTCCCTCTTCATTTTTAGCATCTGGTGAAACTTTCTACTTATTAAGGCAAATTCCTTTTCAAAATCTTCTCCCATATCCATATCAGAATCACTATCATACTCACTTGCTTTGAAAGCAATTACTTTTCTTCTTCTATGATCATCTTTATTCATCTGAATAATTACTTCCTCATGGCTAAGCAGGGATCCTACTAATCTTTCAATAGATATTATATTCAGATCTTTGGCTTCTTCAATGGCAGTACGTTTGGGTAACCATTCTCTAGGTAAACATCTTAGAATTTTTCTAACCAGATCTTTGGTTTCAAATGTTTTGCCTAAACCTTTCAGCCTGTTTATCAGATCATTAAACCGTTTATGCATGCTTGATATGGATTCTCCTGAACTCATTTCGAATGATTCATATTCATTTAGTAGCACATCTATCCTACTTTCTTTAACCTCAGACGTACCTTCATGAGTAGTCTGAAGAGACTCCCAAATTTCCTTTGCAGATTCACATTGAGCCACTTGGCTTCTTTCCTCGGGGCAAAGGGCAGAGAACAAGATGTGCATTGCTCGAGAGTCCAGTTGAGAAGAGATTTTCTGCTCTTCCTTCCAGTCTTCTTCATCTTCATCTTCCATAGGAACTGGTCCCTTTCTGACAACAGCCCATAGTTCTCCATCAACTCCTCGTAAGTAGATTCGCATCCTCTTTTTCCAGACTGTGTAGTCTGTTCCATCAAACCATGGGGGGTTTGTATTTGCCGAGTAGGCTACAGCACTTGAGGAAGCTCCAGACATCTTGTGATCCTCTCTTTGGCGACAGTAAGTCCTTCAAAGAGCCTGCTCTGATACCAATTGTTAAATCAAGATGAGTATGAAGCAAAGAAACTTTTATTTAACAGTAAAACAGAGGTACAGAAAATCTTCACAATCCCTAGCCACGCCAAGAACCTTGGCACTTTCAACAGCAAAAGGAAACACTCAATCCCAACTTCCCAAGACTAGATCACCCAGTTTACAACTCCTGTGATCTATCTACTGAAGAAAGGAATGAACTTAGCCCATGATACAAGAGTATATCTCGATCTCTCTTAATACCAACTGCTACAACTTGAAATCAAAGACCTACTTACTATTTATACCGTACAAAAAGATGACCGTTCCCTACACAAGGCGCTCCTACGCTTCTGATGGATCCTTGGATTACTAGCTGAGTAGAGGCGGTGGAGAAGGTCGGTGGAGAAGAGAGCTTCGAAGTCGGTTCATCGATCTCTTGAGAAGAGCAGAAAATGGTTGACTCAAAAAGAAGGAGACCAACTGCGAAGGACGAAACCAGATTTGTGACCATTTCCTTGGTATGCCTACGACATCGTTTTAGGCTGAGTAAAGCATCGTCGTTTCAGTCAACATGTTCGGCCTTTTGGATGGCTCCTTGAAAAAGCCCACTGTTCCGCCGTCAACTGATCAGGAGCTCGCTTCCTGGCTCAAGAACGATGCTAAGGTGAAGTCCTGGATTTTGAAATCTGTGGATCGGTCTATAGTCCTCGGCTTACGACCCCTGTCTACAGCTACCAAGATGTGGAAATCTCTTTCCGATACGTACGGCACCATTAGCACCGCCCGCCAATTTGAGCTGGAGGTGGAATTGGCGAATCTCCAGCAAGGAGATCTTGATATCACGTCCTACTTTAATGAAGTCCGCCTTCTTTGGACGGAACAAGACCTACTCACTGCTGCTCTTGTTTCCGGCCCTGCATCTCCTGAAGTCCAGCGTGAGAGGCAAAAGATAAGGCTGCTCCAATTTCTAGCTCGCCTCCGTCCCAATTATGAAGCTGAGCGATCTACTCTGCTCAACCGTGAAGATCTCAAGCTGGAGGGTGTTCTTGCCACTCTCGTTCGTGAAGAAACGAGGCAGCGGACTCAAGCTGCTCTCGACACTAGGCCTGGTCCTGGTGAAACGTTCGTGTTCTCTGCCGCTAAAGGTCCTCCTCGTGGTCATTCGTCTCCAGCTGCTAGGGGAAATGGCTCGAACTCTTCCTCCGCCGACGTTTTTGTCGCGTATCGCCCACCGAATCAGCGTCGTGACGTGGAGTGTCACCACTGCCACGAAAAGGGTCATACGTAGAAATATTGTCGCATCTGAAACTTCTATGTCTGGTGCAAAAAATCGGGACATATTATTCCCGATTGTCGGTCCTTACAAAATCGCAAGAATGGCGGTGGGAATCCCGGGACTGGTGGCGGCAACAACTCCACACCTGGCCAGCATCCTACCCGGCCTGCTGCTCCCCCGGCTCATCCCGCTTATGCGACGCAAGCTGCTGTTCTGGTTGCCGAAGCAATCACTGTGATGCCTGCTGCTCTATAAGAGATGGTCAATAAAGCCATTGCCACAGCTTTTGCAAATCTTCAGGCTTCAGGTAAAGTTCCTTCTTGGATTCTTGACTCGGCATGTTTTAACCATATGACCAGTAATGCGTCTATTCTTTCTGATGTCCGTCCCGTTAAGAATCTTTCCCTCCAAGTTGCGAATGGTAATATGATGCGTGTGACTACTAAGGGTGATGTTCATGGATCTTGTTTTACCTGATACTCTGCATGTGCCTCAACTTGTCCCTAACCTTGTTTATGTTGGACAATTGGTTGATAATGGGTGTCGGGTTTTCTTCACACCTTCTGGGTGCTCTGTACAGGACCTGAAGACGGGGCGGGAGATAGGCAGAGGTAGCAAAAGGGGTCGAATTTTTCACATGGACAAGCTTCAGAACCCCGCAGCAGCATCATCATCGGTCTCTTCGTCTGTTTCGTCCCCTCATTCGGTGTCTAGGGTCTTTCCGTCGGTCTATTCTTGTCATTCTCATTATACTTTTCGGCTTTAGCACTCCCGCTTGCGTCATCCCCACACTAGTAGGCTGATTGCTACATTTAAACAAGAATTTTTTGGTAAATCCGTTGACGTTGATAGCTCTTTTGATATGGCATGCACGAGTTGTGTGGAGGCTAAGACTACTAGTATTTCCTTTCCATCTAGCGAAACTGTTATTACTGAGCCATTTCATCTCATTCATACTGATCTGTGGGGATATATCCCTGTCACTTCTCGTCATGGATACAAATATTTTGCCTTGTTTATCGATCATGCCACTCGGTATACCTGGGTTTACTTCCTGCGTCTTAAATCTGACCTCTTACCTGTTGCTACTGAATTTTTTCAAATGATTAAGACCCAGTTTGACAAACCTATTTGTGTTATCCGATCCGATCCTCGGGGGGAGTTTAGCTATGGTCCCTTACTGAATCTTTATCGATCTCTGGGCATTCTTTCGCAGAAATCTTGTCCTGGTGTGTCACAGCATAATGGTCTGGTAGAACGCAAAAATAGGCATGTCCTCGAGTGCCCTCCTCCTAAGCGTCTCATGTTCCATCCTCTTTTTGGCCTGAGCCTGTGTCTACTGTTGTTCGTCTTATTAACTACCAAATCACTCCAGTATTAGGTCAATCTAGTCCATTCTATCGCCTGTTCTCGAAACATCCTCCATATACTCGTCTTCGTGTATTTGGTTGTCTTTGCTTTGTCCTACTTCCTCGGTCTGAATGCAATAAACTCACGTCTAAGATTGTCCGCTGTGTTTTTCTTGGTTATAGTGATGTTCACAAAGGGTATCTCTGTTATGAGCCTTCTGCTCGGCGTCTTTGTATAGCTTTTAATGTCATCTTTTTTGAAAATCTGATGTTCTGCTCCGCGTCTACTGAGTCACCTTCCTTGTTTGACACTTCCTTAGCCTTGCCCTCCTTTACGGACCTTGATGATGTTGCCGATGATGATGATGATGATGATGATGATGATGGAGATTTGCTACCTCCTGGCACTCCGCCCCCCGCACCGCCTTCCTCGCCGGATAGTGACCCGCCCGTGTTTCCTGCTCGTCGCTCCGACCGCCTTACTAAAGGCCAGCCTCCTCTTTGCATGCAAGATTATGTCTCTTTTCCGGTGGTTCCAATACCCATACCCACTCGTTACTCCTAGGCTCGTGGGAACCCCCACCGGGATGCAGCCATGTACGAGGAAACTGTTGCTCTTCATGCAAATAAGACATGGGTTCTTGTTCCTCGTCCTCCTCCTCCCATCCCTGTTGTGGGTAGTAAGTGGGTCTACGCCTTGAAGATGCTCCCTGATGGTTCCATTGAACGCTTCAAGGCCCGTGTTGTGGCACAAGGTTTCAGTCAGGAGTATGGGGTCGATTTCCATGAGACCTTCGCTCTGGTTGCGAAGATGGTTTCGGTTCGCACTCTTCTAGTTGTGGCATCTCTTCATCGCTGGCCCTTGTATCAGTTAGATGTTAAGAATGCCTTCTTGCATGGTGATTTACAAGAGACGATATACATGGAACGTCCTCCCGGGTATCCCTATGGTACGGCTGATCAGGTCTGTCTCTTACAGAAGTCTCTTTATGGGTTGAAGCAGGCTCCCCGGGCGTGGTTTGATAAGTTTCACTCTATAGTTTTGGCTCTTGGCTTCAAGCAAAGTCCGAATGAGCCTTCCTTGTTTACCCGAAATACCTCACGTGGCATTGTTATTCTCCTTCTCTATGTGGACGATATGATAGTTTCTGGTGATGATCATGACGGGATTGCTGCTCTAACGAAAGGTCTCCATGCTTTTTTCGGCTTTAGGAGCTCGACTCCCTGTCCTACTTTCTGGTGCTAGAGGTTACTCGATCTTCGCATGGAATATTTCTCAGCCAGTCTAAGTACATTGATGATCTAGTGGACTCTTCTCGTTTTGTTGATTGTAACTCGGTCGTTACCCCCCATGGAGCTGAATCTCAAGTTGGGGAGGGATACAGGTGACTTATTGTCTGATGGTGGTAAGCATTATCGTAGTGTGGTGGGCAGTTTGATCTGTCTGACTTCTACTTGGCCTGATATAGCGTATGCGGTTCAAGTGGTTAGTCAGTTCATGTCCGCTCCTCGCACTTGTCACTTAGATGCCGTCCACCAGATTCTACGATATCTGCAAGGGACGAGGACGGTTGGGATGCTATTTCCGTCCACGGGTTTGTTGACATTACAGGCTTTTCTGATTCTGACTATGCAGGGTGTATTGACACTCGTCGTTCTACGAGTGGCTGGTGTGTTCGACTTGGTAATTCGTTCATCTCCTGGCGGTGCAAGAAGCATGATAAAGTTTCCAAGTCGTCCGCCGAAGCCGAGTATCGTGCCATGTACGAAGTCACTTATGAGCTCGAGTGGTTGCAGCGCTTGATATGAGATTTCAGCGTCCAGTGTGATGTACCCATGCAACTCTCTGTGGATAATACGAGTGCCCTTCGTATTGCGACTAATCATGTTCTCCATGACCGTACAAGGCATATAGAGGTGCATGTTCACTACATCTGCGATCTGGTCCGTGCTGGTACTCTGCGTATAGCTCATATTTCTTCTGAGGAACAGATTGCCGATCTTTTGACAAAGGCCTTCACAGCTAGTCGTCATAGCTATCTCTCTCACAAGTTGATGGTGCGCGACTTCCATCAATTTGGGGGAGGCTGTTAAGATATATGTCGGTTATGTTATAGGGCTTAAGCCCATTGTATGCTTATGTTGGACGTGTAGGTTTTGGACTTAGAGACTGCCGAGACTTTCCCCTTCCTCATAGAACTCGGCTTCTCTTATTATGGACGTAGGGTTGCGGTGTGTAGGCATATAAATATGCCATGTACGTATGTGTTGGGTAATTGAATAAGAAGAACAATAGCTTCGGCCGTGGACTAGTCTCGTTCTCCCTGAACGAGGAAACCACGTAAACTCTGTGTTGATTATCTTTCTGTTTCGATCTTTTGGGTTGATTAACATTGTGGGGCATGATCAGTCCAACAATCTCCTTGTTTGTCATGGGTAAGTACTACGACTGCCTACATGAATCTTTTCTTGCTAATCTGTTGGCTTTTGGTGACGCATTAGACTGGTGCTTATCCCATCATTTTCTATTAATTCTCTGTCATGGGGTTCCCATTATGGTTGTCCGGCGTTTTTTGGCGGGTGGTTCCGAGCATGTGACGGGAGGGGTGGTACTAGAAGACATCTGCAGGCTAGCAAGAGCTTTTGATTTTTGTTCTTTCTCCCATGTTACTCGTCGAGTTAATAGAGCAGCCCATTATGTGGCCAAAAACACTATTTCATCGGAAGTTCGACGATTGGTCGACTTTCGTCCGTGGATTGATTCTGTTCTTTGACTATGTATACGAACTTCTGTCTGGTTTTGTCTATGTTAAAAACATGTATTTTTTAAACTAAAAACATACAAAAATCTAAAATCTTATAATAAGATGAAATTTTTCACTACAGTTTTACCGTTAGCTAATCCCACTAACTCCCCGTGAGTATTTCTTAGGTGTTTGATACTTCGCTTTTCATTTTTTAATTATTTTAATCCAATTTAATTATTTTAATTCGATTTTAATAATTAATTTAGCTACTGGGTAGAAATATTTTAAATATTTTGAAAACTTTAAGATACGCATCATAAATACGTTATGCTCAAATGACATTCCGACAAACGGGTTGGACACCAAACTAGTTTTACGGGGGAAAACAATGTTCTGTGATCTCTATTTAACTTTTAATTCATTTTATTATGTAACTGAATTCAATATAAACAAAACCACAAACTTAGGGAGGCATTTGTTTCTATATGTTGTCATTGCAAGTGTTTAAAGGGGCATTTATTGCATGCAATGAACAAAGTGAAGGAACACTTCAGAATCATACGACTGATGAAATCATAAAAATGATTTTTTCGATGGAATATCTTAACATACCTCATATATATTTTGCATGATAAATATACTTTAATCTTTTTCAGAATATGAAAACACATCTTGAAACATAGATTATAATTTTTTCACGTTACTTGAGATGAATTTCTGATTATGGATCAAATTGTTGAGGAGTTTTACAATGCTATATAGCATTGGTGTTATAGGTTTTTGCTTTTATGGTACAACTTGAAATTGTACCTTTAACGTTATGGTACAACTTCATATTGTACGTATACTTTTTGTACAAATTCTTTTATGGTACAACATGAACTTGTACCTTTATGTTCTGGTACAACTTCAAGTTGTAAAATTGTACCATAACATAATGGTACAAATTCCTTTATGGTACAACATTAACGTATACATTTATTGTTATGGTACAACTTCAAATTGTACATTAAAGCACCAATACTATATAGTATAGTAGAAGTGCTCCAAATTGTTTGTTGATGTGTGTTTGTCGTTATATGACCATTTTGAATAGATCATCTACACTACACTACCATATGCACCTTTTACAATTTGGGCCTGCCACATGACATCACCAAACACATGCAATTGCAAGTGGGAAGGTCAACTCCCGAAGCACCCACAAAAATATTGATTGGGAAGGTCAACTTTGGTGATGGCTAAAGTTGCGAGGAAGTATTTCATTAGTTAATTAGTCTTGCCAGAACAGAGATCCCTCTGAACTACTGCGACATAAAACAGAGCTGCTCTGTTCTGCTCTCTCCTAAACATAAGCAAGCTAACATATTGGTGAATTAGCTACAGCAATTGTGACGATATCTAGCTAACAATTACACAGATATATATGGACAGTGCGGAGATGTTGAACAAACTCCCAAAAAAGGAGGTGTTTTGGAATGCCATGGAGATTCAGCAGATAGAAGGATTCTGGTTCGCAGAGCAGTATGTGGAATCCATGGCGGCATTCAGGTCAGAATTCCAGCCGCGAAGCGACGACATTCTCTTGACATCCTTCCCCAAAACAGGAGCAACCTGGCTCATGGCTCTCTGCCACAACATCCTCCACCTCGAAGAAGAAGACATTCTGACGCAGATGAACCCGCACGACGTCGTTCCCACGGTCGACGCCCTTTACCTTGCGGATCAAGTCCAGCACGTTCTGCTCCATTCCACCACCGGCCGATTGCTCTGTTGAAATTAAATAAAGTTTAATTATTAAAATAAGAAAATATCTGAAGCCCCTAGAAGCTACGTTGGTTTGCTGGAGATGAAGAAAAATCTAGAGATGGGTAGGTTTGAATTAGGTAGTTGCATGATTGTTGAATAAAAAAAGCAAAAAAACCAGAACCATATGTTTAAGTCGGTTGGGCTGATATTTGTAGAAATTGAAGCCTATAAAAGGCTGTCTTTGTGCTTGGGTTGTATGTGCAGCAGTGTAAGAGCCAAAAAAGAAAGATACAAATAATAAAAGACTTACTCTCCCCACATCTCTCTGCATATTTCCTTCTCCCAAAACAAACAAAACCCTCTGCCATTTCAGCTCAATACCAAACATTCACCCACCAAAAGGCCCACCTTTAGTCATGTGAATTATAAAGGAAATAATTAATTTATTTCCAACAAAGTGGTATCAGAGCCCGAGTTATTTCCGAGTATGCTCTGTGGTTGCAGCGTAGTCTGAACTTCCACATCAGAAAAGAATTTCTCGTGTTTTTGTTATCACGATTGTCCCATGGCCGAAAAATCCACTTTCCCCATTCAATTCCCCCACCTTACCAAAACCAATTATAAAAATTGGTGTATTCGTATGAAAGCCTTGCTGGGATCCCAAGATGCTTGGGATATTGTTGAAAAAGGTTACGAGATTCCCGCGGAGGATTCTCGATTATCTCCTACTGAAAAGGAGGTATTGAGAAAAAATAGAAAGAGTGATCAAAAGGCACTCACTCTATTTCATCAATGTCTTGATGAATCCATGTTCGATCAAATAGCAGATGCTACCACAGCAAAGGAAGCATGGGAGATTTTGCAAAAAGAAATGCAAGGCGTGGAACCAGTGAAGAAGGTTCGACTTCAGACACTAAGGGGAGATTTTGAAGCTATTAAAATGAAGGAAGGTGAATCTGTTTCAGATTACACCGCCCGTGTGAAGTCAGTCGTCAGCAAATTGAAGCAGTATGGGGGAGAAAATTGAAGAGACCAAAGTGGTGGAGAAAATTCTACGGTCATTATTACCGAAGTTCGATTATGTGGTGGTGGCCATGGAAGAAGCTAAGGACGTGTCAAAAATGACGGTTGATGAAGTCATCGGTTCATTACAAGCCAGAGAAGAAAGACTAAATAAAAGAAATGAAGAATCATCAGAACAAGTGTTAGGCCTTTTTTTTTTTTTTTTTTTGAAAAGAGGAAGAAACAAATTCGCTACAAAAGCTACCACTGAGGATAAAGAAGGCGCACGAGGAGGAGTTCAGTACAGAGGTCGAGGCAGAGGCAACTATAGAGGCAGAGGAAGAGGAAGAGCCCGAGGAGCATATCAAAGTAGAGACGGAGGAAATTTCACCACGAACAACTATGAAACGTCCACCAGAGGCAGAGGTCGTGTTCGTGGACGTGGAAGAGGAAGTTGGAGATCAAATGAAGGTCGTGATAAATCCAACATCCAGTGCCATAATTGCTCGAAATACGGGCATTATGCATCGGAATGTTGGAGTCCGCCTAAAGAAGTGGAGGAAACAGCAAACAACGTGCAAGAAGAAGTCAAAGGCACATTGATGTTGTCACATCAAGGAGATGAAAAACCGAGAGACAACATGTGGTATCTGGATAATGCAGCAAGCAACCACATGTGTGGAAAAAGAAACATGTTCGTGGATATGGATGAGTCAGTGAAAGGAAATGTCGTATTTGGAAATTCCTCGAAGGTTCCTATCAAAGGCAGAGGAACTATACTCATCCGGCTGAAGAATGGCTCACAACAATTTATCAGTGATGTGTACTATGTTCCAGACATGACTAGTAACATCCTGAGTTTGGGTCAATTGATGGAGAAGAATTATGAAGTCCACATGGTGAATCGTCAATTGGAGCTGCTAAATGAGAAGAGGCAGTTGTTGGCCAGAGTCCCAATGTCGAGAAATAGAATGTTCACCCTGAACATTCAAACTGAAATGGCGAAGTGTCTGAAAGCGTGTGTGAAGGACAATACATGGCTATGGCATCTGAGGTATGGTCATCTAAATTTTGGAGGTCTGAAATTGCTCGGTCAGAAGAAGATGGTGCATGGTCTGCCAGTGATCAATCATCCAGATCAATTGTGTGAAGGATGCTTAGTTGGAAAGCAATTCAGGGCAAGTTTCCCGAAGGAGTCCCTGTCACGAGCTAAAGCACCACTTGAGCTCGTCCATGCAGATCTTTGTGGACCGATCACCCCAACATCGTTCGGAAAGAACAAATATTTTCTATTGTTCATTGATGATTACAGTAGAAAGACATGGGTATACTTCTTAAAGCAGAAGTCAGACACATTTGAAGCTTTCAAGAAGTTCAAGATGATGGTGGAGAATGAAAGTGGCCGCTACATCAAAGCTATGAGATCAGATAGAGGTGGAGAATTTATGCTCAAGAAGTTCAGAAGATTCTGTGAATATCAAGGAATTCGCAGGTTTCTCACAGTTCCAAGATCACCACAGCAAAATGGAGTCGTTGAGAGGAAGAACAGAACTGTCCTCAACATGGCAAGAAGCATGATGAAGAGCAAGAACCTGCCAAAGGAGCTATGGGCTGAAGCTGTTGATTGTGCAGTCTACCTGCTGAACAGGTCACCAACAAAGAGTGTTTGGAATCAAACACCCCAAGAAGCATGGAGCGGAAGGAAACCCACAATCTCTCACCTCCGAGTCTTCGGAAGTGTAGGATATGTGCACGTACCGGATCAAGAAAGGAAGAAGTTGGATGACAAAAGCAAGAAATACATATTCCCGGGAAACTCAGAACACTCAAAAGGTTACAAAATGTTTGATCCCGTGGAAGAGAAGCTGATCATCAGCAGAGACGTGGTAGTTGATGAAGAAGCAACATGGGATTGGACTGCTGAAGCAAAGAAAAATTACACTTTTTATCCATTCACTATGGATGAAAGTGATGATGAACCTGATACAGCTACACCTGTGACAAGTCCACCCAGTCACAGAGAGCCTGCCAGCCCAGAAGGAGAATCGAGTGAAAGTCCCCGAGAAAGGCCACAGAAGTATAGGAGACTTGAAGAAATTTATGAGGAAACGACAACCATTGAAGGTGATGAATTGACACTCTACTGTCATTTCATTGATAGTGAACCAGTTGATGTCGAAGAAGCCATGAAGGATGAAAAATGGAAGAGAGCTATGGATGAAGAAATTGGAGCAATTGTGAAGAACAAGACTTGGGAGCTTGTGTCGGTACCTGAGAACCAGAAGCCCATCGGTGTGAAGTGGGTATTTAAAGCTAAGGAGAACGCAAAAGGAGAAGTTGTCAGGCACAAAGCAAGATTGGTGGCTAAAGGATATAGTCAGAGACCAGGCATTGACTATAATGAAGTTTTTGCTCCTGTAGCAAGAATGGAGAGTATCAGGATGGTGATATCTCTCGCTGCTCAAAATGGATGGAAGATACATCAAATGGATGTGAAGTCAGCTTTTTTGAATGGATATCTCGAGGAAGATATCTATGTGGAGCAACCACCTGGATATATTGTCGAAGGTCAAGAAGATAAGGTGTTAAAGCTGAAGAAGGCATTGTATGGTCTGAAACAAGCACCGAGAGCTTGGAATAGCAGGATTGACAAGTATTTTCAGCAAAACGGGTTCAGCAAATGCCCACATGAGCATGCACTATACTGCAAGGTGCAAGGGGGAGCAATATTGATGGTTTGCCTATATGTAGATGATCTCGTCTTAACAGGCAACGATCCTCAAATGTTTGAAGAGTTCAAGAAGACGATGGTTCGTGAGTTTGAGATGACAGACATCGGACTGATGTCATATTATCTCGGTATTGAAGTAACTCAAAAGGAGGAAGGAATTTTTATCTCACAGAGTGGCTTCGCAAAGGAAGTCTTGAAGAAGTTTAAGATGGAGAACTGTATTCCTGTGAGTACACCAGCAGAGTGTGGACTGAAATTATCCAAGGATGACAAAGGAGAGAAGGTCAACTCAACGGAGTTTAGAAGCCTTGTCGGAAGCCTGAGATATCTTACTTGTACCAGACCAGATATTCTCTACGCAGTTGGATTAGTCAGCAGATACATGTAGGCACCTACTATGTCACACTGGAATGCTGCAAAGAGGATATTACGCTACATCAAAGGTACAATCGATCATGGTCTGCTTTATACTAAGTCAGAAAATTTCAAATTGGTTGGATACTGCGACAGTGATTGGGGAGGAGACGTCGATGATCGCAAAAGCACTACAGGATTCGTATTTTTCCTAGGAGATACAGCTTTCACATGGAGTTCAAAGAAGAAAGCTATCGTGACACTGTCAACTTGTGAAGCTGAGTATGTTGCTGCAACATCGTGTGCGTGTCATGCGATATGGCTGAGAAAGTTGCTGAAGGAGTTGAACTTGACACAGGAAGAGTCAACTAAAATTTATGTGGATAACAAGTCTGCCCTGGCGTTAGCAAAGAATCCGGTGTTTCATGATCGCAGTAAGCATATTGATACAAGATATCATTTTCTGAGAGGGTGCGTGGAGCAGAAAGAAGTGATGCTGAAGTATGTGAAGACTGATGACCAGATTGCTGATATTTTCACGAAGCCGCTGAAGCAAGATGTGTTCGTCAAGATGAGGATGCTACTCGGAGTTACACCGAATTAAACTTTAAGGGGGAGTGTTGAAATTAAATAAAGTTTAATTATTAAAATAAGAAAATATCTGAAGCTCCTAGAAGCTACATTGGTTTGCTGGAGATGAAGAAAAATCTAGAGATGGGTAGGTTTGAATTAGGTAGTTGCATGATTGTTGAATAAAAAAAGCAAAAAAACCAGAACCATATGTTTAAGTCGGTTGGGCTGATATTTGTAGAAATTGAAGCCTATAAAAGGCTGTCTTTGTGCGTGGGTTGTATGTGCAGCAGTGTAAGAGCCAAAAAAGAAAGATACAAATAATAAAAGACTTACTCTCCCCACATCTCTCTGCATATTTCCTTCTCCCAAAACAAACAAAACCCTCTGCCATTTCAGCTCAATACCAAACATTCACCCACCAAAAGGCCCACCTTTAGTCATGTGAATTATAAAGGAAATAATTAATTTATTTCCAACATGCTCCACACTCATTTGCCTTGCAGCTGCTTGCCGGAGGCCGTGAGGAACTCCGGGTGCAAGTTCGTGCACGTGGCTTGCAACCCGAAGGACACGTTGGTGTCCATGTGGCATTTCTTGAACAAGATCTTCCTGAGTGGCGAGCCCGCTGGCCCGTTCCCGATTGAGAGAGCCGTGGAGAGCTTCTGCAGCGGGGTTCTGCCTTTCGGGCCTTTTTACGAGCACGTGGTGGGCTACTAGGAAGAGAGCAAGAAGCGGCCGGGCAACGTGCTGTTTCTCCGGTACGAGGAACTGTGCAGAGACCCCAAAGAACAGGTGAGGAAGCTTGCTTCTTTTTTGGGGAAGTCGTTCGACGCGAAGGCGGGTGGAGATGATGAGGAGGAGGAGGTGGTGATGGAGAAAGTGTTGTGGCGTAGCAGTTTGGGTAGGCTCAAAGAATTGGAGGTTAACAAGAATGGTGTATGGGAGGCAGGTCAACTACCAAATTCTCACTTCTTCAGGAAAGGAACTGTGGGGGATTGAAGAACTACTTGACTCCCCAGATGGCTGAGCGCATCGACCAACTCACACAGTTGAAGTTGCAGGGAACCAGGCTTTCCCTTGACGATTTCTAATGTATGATTCTAAGAGAATGTGCACACAAGATTACTGGATTCAGGCTTTCTTTTTGGGTGACTTTAGCAACCATACCTGTCTTTTGTTGAATTGGGAGTTTCATGGTTTCTGCCAAATAATTTACCTTTTTCCGTTTTGACACCAGGGCTTTCTTTCATGTAAATCGTCGGATGCTCCTACGGAGAAACATCCTCTAAAATTTTTGCGGAGGACAATACCAAAATTCCATATATTGGAGGCTATCTCTCTACCTCGAAGAAGAGATCATGAAGCTAACAATGGCAGATGGTGACGAAGCAGCCGCAGGATGGGCGAGAAACAACGACGTCATGCTCTAAAAAAAAATGTTGCCGATCGAATAAATTCTTAGTAAAAACACGTTGTGGCGATGACAAATGTGTCAGCTAAGCACATCCTATTTTTGCTCGATAAATCTCTTGTGCTGTTAAATTGTAGAGCTACTGTTCCGTCCAAAATCTTCCCTGTTTATAAAGATACCCTTTAAATTGGAATGACAAACTGAAGTTGCAAATATATGTAATCAACTTAACATCAGCAATGCTCTAACGAATATTTGAAAAAAAATTATACAAAGTTAAAAATGTCATTATTTGGTGGTGGGTACAAATTTACGACCGTCAAAAGTTTAGGAAAATCACAAAATGGACAATTTCATTTATTTTATGTAGACCAAGGCTTACCAAACCGCTCTTTGGTTGTTGCGGGCTTCACTACAATCTAGGGATGGCAATCAAACCCATGACCGCGGGTACCCGCCTGCCCCCGACCCAGTCAACGCGGGGAATCCCCGCTTTGACCAGGTATGGGGCGGGTATGGGTAAAACCCGCAAAAAGTTTGATGGGTATGAGGCGGGTATGGTTTTAGCCTCCCCCGCCCCACCAAGAGAAGTTCTTCACATATCAAAAATTATGTGGATTATATCAATGATGATGATAACTCGAGAAAATAAATAGTAGAAATGCAATTGAGTAACCACCTTAAACAAAACCTAATTCATTTCCCTCAATTCTCCTTCCACTCTTTCACTTTTCCCCTTGTCAACAAGATTATGTTAGTTAATTATTACTTAGTAAATGTATCAAGAGTTAGAGCATAATAATTTAAAAAATATTGTAGTCTATATTATGTATTAATGGATGTTTTAGGATCATATTCTTTGAATCGTATTTAGAAAATGACCGTGTTTTGTTGACTTCATGATTTAATAGGTTTGTTTATGGTTATAATTAACACTTTTTTTGTAAGTTTTAGGTATAATAATGTTGGATGTACGAGGATGGGTATTACTCATGGGTACCCGAAACCCACGGGTATGGGGATGGGTTTGCAAAACATTCCCTCGCATGGGTATGGGGCGGGTATGGGGTTTGGGTATTTGAAGATGGGGATGGGGATGGTTTAGGCAAACCCGCCCCAAACCCGCCCCGTTGCCATCCCCAATCGGATACCCGAGCGTTAAGTTTCGTCTGTAGGAAGTTCTCGACGTATATTGGAGGAAAATCATTGAAGTCTATAGCGATATAGCTAAATCGCTTCAATCTGCAGCGATTAACCTAAAATCACACTACTAGAAAACCTAACTATAAAGGCAAATAATTAGAGACAATTATTGTATTAGTCTTTACCGCAAAGCTTTAGGGGCAAAAATATTGTTTGTCTCAATAGGAGGAATTATTTGTCTCTCTTCCATAAAACTCTCGTATAATTAATATAAAATAAAGTAAAAGTATTAACTTTATAGGCATTTATCATATTTGCTCCTTGTTATATATTACTAGAATCAATGCCTGCGGCGGCTACGCAACGCCTCGTGAATTTAATTTGCATTGGCATATGATCGTATGGTGGTCAGTTTAGGTGACGGCAGTGAGAAGAAATGAATGACACAATTCCAATAACGACTCTAATAATTAACATAATGAATGAACGAAAAATCAAACATATTAATTGTTTTAAAATTCCAGCAATCACTTGTACACCAACTCGAGTTTCCAACAAAATCAGTGTAATTACTGTGACATTAATATATTTTGACTACTAACTGTTTTTTGACGGGTTTGTTCAAAAGCAGGAAAAACAACATATAGGATCATCTTTAGTAATCCATGTATCGTTTTAGTTGTCATGAAAAGCAAACTAAATTACCCTCTACTGAAGTAAAATCTTTCAAATTAGCTTAGCCCTTAAATCCTTCTGTTATTGTCCAAGGCGTGACTTTATTACTGTTCAATTTTCAGCCTAAGAAAGTAAGTTGTTTCTCTAAAAAATCTCATAATGTTATAGTAGGAAGGAATGTGTTTCATTACATCTTTTATGTGATTATAGAAAGTAAACTCAAGTTCAAATGGAAGTGCGTTGATTATGTGAGAAACATATATCTCTGTTATTTTGGTTCTATTTGTGCAGCTAAAGCAAACCCCTTGCAAGCCAAATAATCAATGCCACGAAGTTCATGACTAAGTAATTCTGCTTATACTTCGATAATGATATTTTTTTTATTGTGATAATGATTTCACAATGCTTCAACAGTGATTCTTTGATAGGTTGTTCCACTTGATTGAATGATGGGTATTTTTGCAAGAAAAATACAGTTTCAGATCAGGCAGACACGTATATTAAATGTTTTAGTTTGAATAACTCTATATAAAAACTACATATCCTTTTATCTCTCCTTGTTCCCTAAAACTCTTTGAACTCCTATAATCCAAAAACTCCGAAGAAACATGACCACAACCAATCAAATTCTAGTCCAATCTTCCCTCATATATTTCTTCCTTTCATCCTAATAGTTCAATACCTATATTGTCGATTCATGCTGTGGAAGGAACTCAGACCTTCCTTACAATAAATGGCGGGATGGTTAAATCATTTTAGAAGATTGAGACCTGCATCACCATAGGAAGACTCAAATCTCTGGCAAGTGCAACTTGATCTTCCCAGATGGTTCATGGGTCTCTAGATTTTGGTCCACCACTATTAAGGGAATCGCTACCTTTTCTGTATGGGAGGTAAAGGACATTGATCTTATGGGGCCAAAGAACCCCAGTTGCACCTAACGAATAAGAAAAAATGAAAAATCCAAGAAAACAAACCCTTATGACCATTAAAAAAATTTGTGGGAACAATTATACCAGTAGTACCAAGCTTAGGCTACCTTATTATATTTGGTCAAAGATATGCTGAAGCATAAGACCGTTTCACATCCACCATGTCTCCAAGCCTGCTGCTCTGACCTTCAATTGAGTGTGGAAGATAAACTGCTGACCAAAAGATAGTGAACAGAAGAATCAGTGAATGAATGTCAAATCCAAGCAAGTAATAACCAGATTGGATTATATAGCTATATGAAGAAAAAAGCAAATAAATTAGAGTAAGACTACATCTATAAAAGAACGAAGAAATAAAGATACTGAAACTAAACGATCTCAACACCAACCTATACCGCCATGCGAGACACCAGTTTCAGCTATCTACTGCTGTTAGAAAGAACATAAACTGAGTTTGAGAGTGAATGTGCTGGAAAAAACGATGGACAATAGAGATGGATGATCTTAGCCTCAAACGATCTCAACCCAAACATAAACCACCATGGTCAGTGAGCTGTCTAGATTCCACTTCATGCATCAACACCAAGGGAAAAGCAGGAAAAGATTGAAATAATATGGAAAAGAAGTCATAATAGAAAGAAAATAGGTCGATGAAGAGATACGTGGGTAGGCGGTGCCCAAAAGGAACTAATAGGAGAGATAATTCACCAATCGAGGGAAGGAAGGCGAGGATCGTACAAATCAAGGGAGGTAACGCTATGCCATCCCTAAAAGAAAACAAATCAATCATCCCACCCAGTTCAGAATTACCATAAAAGAATTGGAAGATAAAGCTTTTATACGAACTTTACGTATACTACTACACACTACAATACTACAAAGGGAGCACTTTTATACAATCAACATGAGGAACTCCGGGTGCAAGTTCGTGCACGTGTCGCGGAACCCAAAGGACATGTTGGTGTCGATGTGGCATTTCTACAACAAGATTGTAAGACTCAACCCAACGATGCCTGCTGCCTTGTTCCCGATGGAGGGAGCAGTGGAGAGCTTCTGCAATGGGGTTCTGCCTTTCGGGCCCTTTTACGAACACGTGGTGGGCTACTGGGAAGAGAGCAAGAAGCGGCCGGACAAGGTGTTGTTTCTCAAGTACGAGGAGCTGCGTCGAAACCCCAAAGAGCAAGTGAGGAAGCTGGCTTCATTTCTGGGGAAGCCGTTTTGCACAACGACGGCGACCGATGGAGATGATGATGATGAGGTGGTGGTTTAGAAAGTGTTGTGGCTGTTAGCTGATCATGGCGCCATTTCCCGTTTAAGTGTGCTTTGAATAAAACTGTGTCGTTTGTCTTATTACTTTTTAGTACTTAAAGTCTGAAGTCTGGTTAGTTGAGTCAGTAGCCGTTGTGAGCAACAACAAAGCTGATTATTAGCTAAGTTGAGTGAGTCAGTTAGAGGTGTAGCTGATCTATAGGAAAAGGGGTTTCTGGGTTGTTAGTCGAGGCCGATCTCCTTGGCCTAGAGTCATGTATTTATATTCACTTCCCATCAATAAGATCAATTGTCAGATTGCAATACGTTTGATCTATCATTGTGGTATCAGAGCAAACCAGCAAGCTGCAACCAAAGCAAGTTGAGTGTGATAGAAGAGATAATTTTGGGATTTGGGAAATACGAGAGATCTGGTGAGGTTAGTTGTTCCAGGGGGGGGGGGGCAAACACCTACGAGTGATTGTGTGAGATCTTTGTGAAAGAGCAGAAATGAGTGAAAGCAGCAGTTTTGCGCAAGTGTGCATACCTAAGTTTGATGGCGATTTCGAGCACTGGAGTCTTCTGATGGAAAACCTCCTCAGATCCAAGGAATATTGGGCAGTCGTGAGTGTGTGATTCAAGGAACCTGCTGCAGGGGAGGAGCTGTCTCTTGCGGATCAGAAAGCTTTGGATGATTTGAGGTTCAAGGACCTTAAAGCCAAGAATTACTTATTCAGCTCCATAGACAAGGTAATTCTGAAAACCAAAACTAAGAAAAGAACTGCTAAGGAGCTGTGGGATTCCATGCAAGTGAAGTATCAGGGAAGTGCTAGGGTGCAGAAAGCTCAGTTGCAGGCTTTAAGAAGGAATTTTGAATTGCTAGAAATGAAAGAAGGAGAAACTGTGTCTGAGTATTTTGGTAGAGTCATGGTTATAGCTAATTCGATGAGAAGTTGTGGTGAAGATCTGACTGATGTTCAGATTGTTGAGAAGATTCTAAGGACTCTAACCGAAAGGTTTAATTATGTTGTATGCTCGATTGAAGAATCTAAAGACATTGAGTTGCTATCTGTTGATGCTCTTCAGAGCTCTCTGATTGTGCATGAGCATAAGTTCCACAAGAAAGGTACTGCAGATGAAGATCAAGCCTTGAGAACCTCTCATGAGTTTGGAGGAAGGGGAGGACGAGGTCAAGGAAGAGGATTCTATGCTGTTGGCAGAGGAAGAGGTCGTGGAGGAAGAGGGTGGGGGAAGGAGTCTGTTGAGTGCTTCAGATGTCACAGACTAGGACATTTCAAATATGAATGTCCAGACTGGTACACCAATCAACAAGCTCATTACTCCAGTTTCCAGCCTTCACAGGACAGATCTCAAGGTGATATGAAAGATGATGTTTTGTTAATGGCCTCTGTGAGTGTAGAAGAATCCACAGAACATGGCTTAATGTCATTGCAAGAAGCTGGCAGTAATGGTGAGAAGGCAGAAAAGCATGAAGCTTGGTGGTTCCTAGACTCGGGCTGCAGCAATCATATGACTGGTGACAAACGGTGTTTTTCCTCCTTAGACACCAGTTTCAAATGCAGTGTGAGGCTAGGAAACAACTCCAGATTGGAAGCTGCTGGAAAGGGTACAGTGAAGTTGATGGTTAACCAGGTTTCCTTGTCAATTCAAGAGGCATTTTATGTGCCTGGTTTAAAGACTAACCTGCTGAGTGTTGGTCAGTTGCAGGAAAAGGGAGTATCATTTTTTATTAAAGATGGCTACTGCAAACTGTTTCATGGAGACAAAGGACTGTTGTTGCAAACTCAAATGAAGTCTAATAGGATGTTTGTGTTGCACGCAGACCCTCCTAAGCACAAGGAACATCAGTGCTTGCAGACTGAAGATCATAAAGACACCTCTCTTCAGCTTTGGCATCGACGGTTTGGGCATCTCAACCAGCAAAGTTTGATGAATCTGCAGAAGCAAAACTTGATTCAAGACATGCCAAAGCTGAAGGGTGAAGTTGGAGTGTGCCAGACATGCCTTATTGGAAAGCAACACAGACTCTAGTTTCCAAAGAAAAGTAACTGGAGGGCCACAAGGAAGCTTCAGTTGCTCCATGCTGACCTTTGTGGTCCAATCTCTCCTACATCAAATGGGGGGAAACGGTACATTCTTACATTGACTGATGACTTCAGTCGTAAACTGTGGGTTTATTTCATGGTGGCCAAATCTGAAACTCTAGAGTTGTTTAAGAAGTTCAAGGCACAAATTGAAAAAGAAACAGGACTATTTATCTCATGTTTGAGAACATACAGAGGTGGTGAATTCATGTTACATGAGTTCAAGGATTTATGCGATGAAGAAGGAATCAGAAGACAACTCACTGCTGCTCTCACCCCTCAACAGAATGGGGTAGCAGAGAGGAAAAACAGAACAGTGATGAACATGGTGCGTTGTATGCTGGAAGATAGTAAAGTTCCAACTCTCTTCTGGCCAGAAGCTGTGGCCTGGACAGCCCATATTCTGAACAGAAGTCCCACTGCTGCAAATCAGGGAAAGACCTCTCAAGAGCTGTGGACTGGCCAGCCTCCTTCAGTCTCACATCTCAGGGTTTTTGGGTGTACAGCTTATGTTCATACACCAGACAAGCAAAGAAAGAAACTTGACAGTAAGAGCACAAAATGTTATTTTCTGGGACTCTCTACTGAATCTAAAGCTTACAAACTCTTCAATCCTGTTACTAAGAAAGTGGTGATCAGTAGGGATGTGATCTTCGATGAGCTGAAAGGTTGGGAATGGGAATCTGAAGATCAATCATCTTCCCTCAAGCTTACATGGGAAGGAAGTGAAGATGTCTGGTATGACTCAGACAAGGAGGAAGAGTCTACTGAAGAAGCTGAAGACCCAGGAGGTCCTGCAACTCCCATAGCCACAAACTCTTCTTCTGCTGCTGGCTCAGACTCAATTCCAGAACAAGAAGAAGAGGAGGCGGAGGAAGTTGAGGAAGGTTCTCCTACTGATGCACTGGGGTTACCACTCATAGACCTGGGTCCCAGAGTCAGAAAACCTCCAAGTCACTTATCCATTTATGCTATGACTTTCGTTTTATGGACATGGACTGGTGGGTTTTGACAACTATAGCTGGTGACCCTCTAACATATGAGGAAGCTGCAAAGGACCCCAGATGGAACGAAGCAATGAAGAAGGAAATAATGTCCATCATCAAGAATGGTACTTGGGTACTGACCACCTGCCTAGAGGGAGTTACACCATTGGACTGAAGTGGGTATACAGAACAAAGTTCAACGAAGAAGGAGCCATAGACAAGCACAAAGCACGACTGGTGGTTAAGGGATATTCACAAAAGCATGGAATAGACTACACAGAGGTATTTGCTCCTGTTGCTAGATGGGATACTATTAGAACTCTATTGGCTTTTGCTGCTTTTCATGGCTTTGAAGTATATAAACTAGATATGAAAAGTGCATTTCTCTATGGTGAACTTGCTGAAGAAGTTTATGTAGAGCAACCACAAGGGTTTGTGGTTGCTGGGGAGGAATCTAAGGTCTATAAGTTGCAGAAGGCTTTGTATGGCCTGAAACAGGCTCCCAGGGCCTGGTATAGCAGAATTGAGGCTTATTTTCTAGCAAATGGTTTTGAACGAAGCACATATGAGCACACTCTATTCATCAATAAGGTTGGCAATGACATACTGATAGTCAGCATCTATGTAGATGACCTGATGTACACCAGCAGCAGTCTTAGGATTATTGATGAGTTCAAGACCTCAATGCAAAAGGAGTTTGAGATGACAGATTTGGGCAAAATGAGGTACTTCTTGGGGGTGGAGGTAATTCAAAATGAGGCTGGGATTTTCATAGGGCAACAGAAGTATGCTAAAGAGCTACTGGAGAAGTTCAGTCTGTCCAACTGTAACTTTGTTCACATTCCCATGGTCCTGGAACAAAACTGACAAAGGCAAGAGATGGTATACCTGTGGATGCAACTGAGTATAAGAAACTCATTGGAAGTTTGCTCTATCTAACAGCAACTCATCCTGATCTCATGTACTCAGTTTGCCTCTTAAGCAGGTATATGGAATCATCAACTAGGCAGCACATGTTAGCCGCCAAAAGAATTCTAAGATACCTTAAAGGAACTTTGAATTTTGGTATTTGGTATAGAAGGAAGAATTACGCAGGTGATGCTCTCATGGGTTACACCGATAGTGATTACGCAGGTGATGCTGATGATAGAAGAAGCACGAGTGGCTATGTGTTCTTTCTTGCAGGTGGGGTGGTGTCTTGGGCCTCCAAGAAGCAGCCAATTGTAACTCTTTCAACGAAGGAGACTGAATTTGTTGTTGCTGCTTTCAGTGCTGCACAATGTGTGTGGCTCAGGAGAATTTTGGAACATATAGGGTGGAAGAAGAGTGTGAATTCACCAACTCAGATACTGTGTGACAGTAGCTCAGCAATCAAGCTCTCCAAGAATCCAGTCCTCCATGGGCGCAGCAAACATATAGATGTGAGGTTTCATTTTCTAAGAGAACTTGCAAATGGAGGAACTGTGATGATGGAACACTGCAGAACTCATGAGCAGGTTGCTGATCTGATGACTAAAGCCCTAAAAATAGAGACGTTTCAGATCCTAAGGGGCAAGCTTGGAATGGTGAGTCGTACTGAGTTTGAAGCTGAGACTTGAAGAGGAGATGAACTGAAGACAACAGCCTGGCTTCAGTTCAGGGGAGGCTTTGTTAGCTGATCATGGCGCCATTTCCAGTTTAAGTGTGCTTTGAATAAAATTGTGTCATTTGTCTTATTACTTTTTAGTACTTAAAGTCTGAAGTCTGGTTAGTTGAGTCAGTAGCCGTTGTGAGCAACAACAAAGCTGATTATTAGCTAAGTTGAGTGAGTCAGTTAGAGGTGTAGATGATCTATAGGAAAAGGGGTTTCTGGGTTGTTAGTCGAGGCCGATCTCCTTGGCCCGGAGTCATGTATTTATATTCACTTCCCATCAATAAGATCAATTGTCAGATTGCAATACGTTTGATCTATCAGTGGCGTAGTAGCTTCGGTAGGCTCAAGGAGTTGGAAGTTAACAAGTATGGTGTACTGGAGATAGGCAAGATACCAAATGTCCATTTCTTCAGGAAAGGAACTGTGAGAGATTGGAACTACTTGACTCCTCAAATGGCTAAACGCGTCGATCAATTCACACAGCCGGGCTTATTCTTGATGATTTCTAATGTACGAGTCTAAGAGATTCTGGATAGAAATTACTGGTTTCAGGCTTCTTTTTTTTTTTTCCTTTGGGCGACTTTAGCACCACATAGTCACTTTGCTGGTTATCTTATTTCATGGCCTGCCGGTCTTTTATTGAATTTGAATTTCCCTTTTGTGTTCGTTGTTTCTGCCAAATAATTTACCTTTTCTCCCCTTTTGACACTAGGGCTTTCAGTTGGGTTTTCTATATATGTTCGAAATGGAGGGCGGTAGGATGACAACAAGTTGGATTGGAGACGGATAGTAGTTCGGGATTGCCCCATACTCACACTGTCACATATAAATCAAGTACAAAATCAAAATCATACTCATAAATGGTTAGGTTTCCGGTATCCATGAATTATCTCTTTTTGGAACTTCAACCAAGAATAGCATGCAAGTTCTGAGAACCCATAAGCAAGGTCAGTAGGCAGACAATATTAACGATTAAAATTGAACAGATTAGGACACTAGGGTTCTGATGTGCCTAGAGTCACTACAACCAGCAGGAAACTAGGATTCTGTTTCTGGAAGAGCTGCTGGAAAATTCCAGAAATCCATAGAAAAAAGTAGGGGGTCTAGTGGATGCCTCTCCGATAAGGGAGCAGGACTTTGCCTGCGAATCCACTCCAAGAAAACAAATAAAGAAGATTCAATATCTCAACTCCATCTGCCAAATTCTGTAGAAAACCCTCCTTTCACAGGAGTCACAAGCTGAGAATACAAGGGACAGAGACGCAGGCAATCTCAAGGGCAAGCGCTCAAATCATCGGTATCATTACTACACTGTCCATACTTTGGCGGGTCAATTACACGGGGTTCAAGCTAGCATCTGAACGTAGAAGAGAGCAAAAAACACTAGCTACCAATCTCCATTGGAATGCCCACAGAACATTCGGTTTCATATATTTCATCATTAGACCGGGGATACTAGTGGATCAAGTGGTAGACTTATCAGCCCAAATGCAGCAGCGGAAGAAGAAAAGAACGAAATATCAGTATCAAGGTTAAGGCAAGGAATTCAACCCCTTTCCGGGATCATAAGGGCACCAATGATTCATCTATTCTATCGTGATTCATTATTCAACGAGACTCACAGTTACTTAGGAGGATTAAACTCCAATGTTGTCAGATGCATATACATACACATACATTCCCATGCTTAATGCTGAAAATTCATTGGAATAAGATCAGAAGATTCCGTCTCTATATGTCAGAGCTATTTCAACACTACATAGCTGGAGATTCACTTCCTTTTCGTCCAGGATACTATCTAAATTCTGGAGCAATAATTTCAAGTGCCGAAACTTCACATTCCTAATTCACTATGAACTATAAGTAGGGCCTAACCTCCAAACTTAACAGATCAACTATTCATGCCGTGTGCTTTTCTTATTTTTAGCGAAATGACATGTGCTCTTCCCTGCATAATTCAATTACTGAACAGCGACCAATGTTCTCCACTTAGAACTATCTCACCCTCCTGATTAAGTCCTTCCATTTCCAAGGAAATGAGAAACTTGATCACTAAAATGAGAAGAAACTAGTATCTAAATTCTAGAGCAGTAACTTCAAGTGCCGAAATGTCACATTCCTAACTCGCTATGAACTATAGGTAGGCCGTACCTTGAAACATAACAGATCAGCTATTCATGCCATGTGCTCTTGCTTGCATAATTCAATTACTAAACAGCCACCAAAGTTCTTCACTCAGAAGTCAGAACTCATAGTTAAGATATATCATCCTTCTGATTAAGTCCTTCCATAGAAATGAGCAACTTGATCACTACAATGAGAAGAAACTAGCCGAAAGAATCCCTTCATAATCACAGCTTATGACGCAACCAGAGGAATTCATGTGTTTCCCCTCCTACAACTAAAACATAGATATAACTTTCAAAGTGCGCAAAATCAAGTCACAGATTCATAGCCACAAGAAAAAGCGCACAGCTTTATTTTGAGCTCCATAACAAAATGTGCACATTCCTCATTAGCAAAGATCAAAAGCCAAAAAAAAGATCAAAACCCAAAAAGGGTTCCAAACTTACGAACAGAGCAAACTCGGGGAAAAACCTAATTGCGTATGAAATCTAATACATTAAAGGAAAGCCATAGATCGATTATTTCAGATGAGCTTGAAGGGAAGGGGCCAAGGAGTGGACCTGGGGAGCTCATTTTTGTCCTTAATCCGCTCAATCTTCTTGTCCTTCTTCGGTCTTGAGTTCCCGTACGAGCCGATGAATATCTTCCCTTTCTTTGTCTTCTTGTCTCCTCGGCCGCACTGAATCGGGAACCCTAGCACTGAATAGGGGATGGACGATGCTGAAGAAGAAGAAGAAGAAGAAGACGGTGACAGTGACGAAAATGAAAACTGATGCTGAGTCACCGCCGCCAGAGTCCGCCTCGCTGCCCCGCTGCATCGCTGCATCGCCATCGCCATCGCCATTGATCGTTCTCGTTTCGGAGCAGAGGCTACTGGCTAGTGACTATGAAGTATGAAGTTAAGATGGAGACTTGAGCAAGAGACTGTAGTTGGATCGGTGGCCTGAACTGAAAAACTTGGGCCGAGCTTTTACCTATTTGAGCCCACCGAATAGATGGATAATAATTTCCAGTAATTATACAATTTAACGAACGGCCGATGGGATTGTCCGATGGTGATTATGTGGTGGTGATGGATATGATTGCCCTGGTTTTGATGTGGCTCCGAATGAAACACGACCGCCAAGCCGCTACTTCATTACATTTCTTCATCATGCTCCTCGGTTGACACTTCGAAACCCAGAGGCAAACTCCCCGCCATTTTTTGAGGTAGTTGCGAGCTTGGTACCGTTAAGAAAAAAATGGATATTTGTGGCAGAGTTGCAGCCTTTTCATCTCTAACTTCAGCTCACTCAATTGCTCCATCCTTCGGCACTACTCGACCCGTCTCTGTCAGTATTTTCGCTGTTCGTTGGTCTCTTTCTTCTGGGTTGGATTTGCTTTACTATCCTATCTGATGAACTTTTTTTTTTTTTTCTGTTTCTGGGTCTGCAGTTGCGGGGTACGATGAGATTAAGTGTGTGGTGTGCTTCTGATCAAACTGTCAAGGTTCTCTTCTTCTTCCTGCTCGGAAAATTCTCTGACTTGTAAGATAGATAAGGAATAATCATGCCCAGATGGGAATTCTTTCGATAGAGTTCATTAATGTGTAACCCATTTCGCCAAAGTTACCAAATTCATGTGGCCTTTTGATATAAAGGATCAGATCAAGGTTAAGGTTTAGGGAGTTAGTTCTGGGGGTGTGGAGGGAAGAATCAATAATTAGCAATGTGGCTCGAAGGATGATACATTACTGTGTATGGTTTTCATAGAAGTTAATCACTAGGGATTGTGTAGTTGCTGATCTCGTGTCTTGTTGGCAAATTAGATGACTGTGTCAGTGACGGGAGCTACTGGTTTCATTGGTAGGAGATTGGTGCAAAGGCTGCAAGGAGGTATACGGGTGTAGTTTATTGCTTACAAGATAACATATTTCATATTGAATTGTTGATGCCAAGAGCCTGTTATGTACGCAGATAACCATAGCGTTCATGTCTTGACTCGGTCAAGATCTCGAGCTGAGTTAATATTTCCTGGTAAGAAGGTAATCATTATTTTTGTAGTCTTGCTTCATTAACGTTTGTGATCGATGAACTCAAGAGCTATGGTTGCATGATAAAATTTGCAGCATGCATGAATTTTGCCTCCTTTTTGCGTTATTAGCCAGGGAGTTTCCAGGAATCGTGATTGCTGAGGAGGTGAAGTGGAAAGATTCTATTCAAAGTTCCAATGCTGTTGTCAATTTGGCTGGATTGCCTATCAGTACAAGATGGTCCCCTGAGGTTTGTTCTGCAGTCTGATTGTGCTAATGGAATGCAACGGCCGATACCATCTGTCTGTTAGGAATGTGAATGAACATAAAATACTCTATGATTAGACTGGCGGGTTGGCAAGCATTTTCTTTTCTTTTTTCGCAAGCTGCAACTCTCTGTTGAGCATATATACTTATTCCTTAGCTTGTTGCAGATCAAGAAAGAGATTAAAGATAGCAGAATTAGGGTCACCTCAAAGGTGAGAATTTGTGTTTTCTTCTATTTCAGAAAGTGTTTTGGCCCAGACATGTGACTAGGGATTCTAACTTTCATTATAATTTTGATTTTCTTATCTCAAGGTTGTAGATTTAATCAACAAGTCACCACAAGAAGCTCGACCTGCTGTTCTCGTTAGCGCTACTGCAGTTGGTTACTATGGTTTGTACCCAAAGCCACATCTTGCCGCATAGCATATGGAGGATGACTTACCTGCATATGTGAATGTTGATGGTTTACATTGTGAATCTTTTATATACACTGAAGTTCCTTCCCTCATTTTTGGTTGTTGCTGCCGTCCAACTGAAATGCTCAGGTACTAGTGAAACACAGATTTTCGATGAGAGCAGCCCATCAGGAAGTGATTATTTGGCAGAGGTAAACCACATTGTTTGGCGAGCCAAGTCTCCCATAACTTCCTTTTTTTTTTTTTTTTTGTTACTTGACCTTAGTCATCCACACTCTTTACGAATGTGTCTTCACTTTGTCATCTGGTAGAGTTGTGTAAAAGGTGCATGTAAACATTTTATCTTCTACTTGTTCACCTCTTTGTGAGCAGGTGTGTAGAGAATGGGAAGCAACAGCGTTCACAGTAAATAAGGATGTCAGATTAGCTCTTGTCCGCATCGGTGTTGTTTTGGGAAAAGATGGTGGCGCTTTGGGTATAATCTGACTCCTCTGCATCTAGTTTCAACATTTTTCTTCTTCTTTTTTTTTACCCGATCTGGCAAACAAATCTCCAAAATAAGTGTAACCCTTTGAATCATTTGCAGCTAAGATGATCCCTATGTTCAAGATGTTTGCTGGTGGACCTTTGGGCTCTGGACAACAATGGTATGTTAAAAGTATTAGGACAATAAACAGAACGTTTTCGGAGCTGATGCTGTCAAATGTTGGAAGACTTTCTATTTGTTGATGCTAATCCCGACACTTGCAGGTTTTCCTGGATTCACTTGGACGACATTGTCAACCTAATATACGAAGCTCTAGTAAATCCATCTTACAAAGGTACTCTCCTCTTGATGGCTAGCAACCTCGTTCTCCATTTTGTTTCTAAATTTCACCGACTTGTGTTCTGAATTCTGATGACCGGAACATTCAGGAGTCATAAATGGAACTGCACCGAATCCAGTACGATTGGCAGAGATGTGCAACCAGCTGGGAGATGTACTAGGTCGGCCATCATGGCTTCCTGTACCCGATTTCGCTCTCAAGGCAGTCCTCGGAGAAGGCGCCACTGTGGTAAATAGAATCTATCATGCCACCCTTACGTTGTCTGTGCATTTTCGTGTGTCGAATCATTTCAATTTCTTCTTTCCCTGCAGGTGCTGGAAGGGCAAAGGGTAGTTCCTGCAAAGGCCAAGGAGCTGGGTTTCAGATTCAAGTACCCCTACGTGAAAGATGCCCTTAAGACCATCCTGTAATGAGGAGAATACGAGCAGATTTGTGGCACCATTCTGTTGATTTTATTCCCTTCAAGTAGAGGATGAATCTATTCATTTCTGTCAATAGAGGCACATAAATTTAGTGACAGTTTTAGTCCACATATGTCCTTCTCTGCATGTTCCCTATGTGTACTATATACTAATTGATGAACATTTCATCAACATTTCAGCAACGGATGACGAATTTGAAGTGGTTAGTTCGAATTTTGTCGATCGTCGATCTACCATTACTACGCTCTTAATGTAGATGCTAAATACAAATATTATAGTTGCTAATAGAGAGTGGTTTTTATTGACTAACTAGTAACTACTACTCATAACTACAAGTAAAGAAAATAACTTGGAGGACTAAACTGTACAGCCTTGAAAGTAAAGGAACCAGATTAAAAAAATTGAACTCACACTTCAGAAAATATTTTGCCTCCATTCTCTCAAATCTCGATCCATTTTCAAACTTGCAGAGCTCGACAACTCTCTCCAGTTTCCGCTTCCCATCCTCCAATCTGCTGCCGATGGAAGCGCCGTCGCTGACTCTGGTAGTTCTGGAGGGCCCTCGCAAAGGCGAGACATTCGATTTCCGCCCTGGATCCACCGTCCGAATCGGCCGAGTCGTCCGGGGAAACACTTTCGCCATCAAAGACGCCGGCATTTCATCCAAACACCTCGCAATCAAATCGGAATCTGGGAAATGGACACTCGAGGACCTCGGCTCCTCCAACGGTACGACTCTCAACTCCTCCCAACTCCCTCCTCTTCAACAGCACGACCTCCGCGACGGCGACGAGATCAAGCTCGGAGAGCTCACTTCCATCATCGTCCGACTCCGAGTCGAGAACCAAGATTCATCGCCGCCGCAACTTCGATGCGGGAGGAAGCAGGTTGCTGCTTCGGTTCAAATCGCACAACCGGAAGCTAGGATTTCGGCGGAGGCTGAAAACTTGTCCCCAAGCGTTCCGAAAAGAGGGAGGCAAAGGAAAGCTAGGGTTCCGGTGTCTCAAAACACGGAGCCGCCTCTGCCGGTCGTTGGTAGGGTTACCCGTAGTAAGAAGAATGAACCAGAGCGCTTGACTTCTGATTGCGTCGAGTCAGGGCTTCCAGAGAAAAAGAGGAATGCGCCAACGAGAAAGGGAAGGAAAAAGGAGCCAGCCCCGCTGCCGGAGAATGATAATGCTGTTGATACAGAAATCAAGGATGGCCAGCAATTAGGGGCGAGTTTAGCCGAAGAAGGAGTTGGTGGTAGGATTAGTGTGGTGGAAATCAAGCCGATTTCAACCAGTAAAGCTCGAGAAGGTGATGCTAACCGGGTTATCAAGGGAAATGAAGATTTAAGGCATAACTTAGCTGAAGAAGCTCGACAAGCAGATGGTTGTAAAGCTGTGGCAGAAACGGAGGAGTTGATTCAGCAGTTGGATTCAGATGACCAACAGTGCGAAGCTCCTACCAAAGATGGGCCCAATTCAAATGAGCACAGAGGGTATAAGAGTGAGGAGCCTGACCTGGAGAAGATGACTCTTAGGGACTGGTTCCAATATATGGAAGTGCGATTGACCAAAGAAACTGTTGAGGCTTCTGAGAAGATGATCGACGAAATGAGAAAGAAAGCTGTGCGAGTGCAAGAGTACTTGATTGAGCAGAAGGCGCGGAACAAAGCATCTTGACCGTTAGCTAGTAGACTCGGAGGCTGCAGAGCAAGGTAACTGGCTTTGGCATTTCTATTGTTCTATAGGGTAGCTTGATTGAGGAAATGCCTAGCTATAATCTGTAGATTGGTTTCTACTTGGCCTCTGCTTGGTTCCTTTTGTAGCTCAATTCCATGCCTGTAGTATAATAAATTAATAATCGAGAATGGTTCTCTATATTTTTGTCACCGTTCTCTAGAGTGGATGGAATCCTAAACTTGTGGAGTCTGTGAAACTGTAATGGAGATCGAAGCTAAATGGGTATGTAACTTAATGATAAAATTACTGAGAACAATGAGAAAGAATCGATGAACTTCTCTGGTAAACTGTTGTTGGTTAATTAGACTACTTAAGATGTCATAATGTAGACAGACGATTGATGCAAACACTGCAGAAGTCTATACTGTCGCAATTACTTTCCATAATATTGCCATAGATAGCCGGCATTGTGACCTGCTGTCCGGTTATAGCCGGAATGACTGATGCTACGAGTTAGTGTGTCGGATTCTGGTAGTACCTAACCTGATGGATTATGGTACAGTAACATGATGCTTCTCCATGCTGCCAATACATTTGACATCTCTAAGTTTGTATTGTGTATGTAGTTTAGTATGTGACTGAAGTTCCACAACAACTGAATGTTTCAGGTTATCAAGATTATGCACAATGCAATCATGCTGCTCAAACAACTTGGCGAACAACCATTTCTGCAAGCGATACACTGAGAGCCATTGATTCCACCGTCACCGAATTCACCCGAATGGAAGTCACCGAGCTCATCTCGTCAAGAAGGCATATACAACATCAACTTCCGAGTTCCGGCTCGACTTCTGCCTCTCGTAGTAGTTTACAGACAGCTCTACCAAACACTTCCCTGCAGATAGGATAGGAGCAATGTGCAAAATATACGGTCCCTGCTTTTCGTACCACTAGGGCACAGTACACATAATCCATCCACCAACATGTAGCGTTAGGTGTGAAATTTAGTTATGAGTTTGGTGTAGAACTTGGCCACAGACACAAGCCAATGGGTTTTGTTTTCATCAATAGAAACGGAAGGGGAGTCTTTGCTTTGCTCCAACTTCATACCGCAATCAAAGTTCACATATGCATTATATACATACAACCAAAAAAATTTGTTAGCATATGCACGTAAATCACGAGAAGGAACTAACAAGTCCGAATTTTCACAACTACCAAGCTTGCTTTGCATGTCTTTAGCCAAATTTGTCTTCGTATTCAACCATTACGACGACAACTATTTTGAAACCTTCAAACACCAAACCAAAGGAAACTCTCTCCCTTGTTATCCATTTTCATACATCAATAAGTACCAAAAACTCTTAGTCACAAAAAAAAAAAAGTACCAAATGCTCAAACTTATAAATTTAAACCGAAAATTCACAAGAATAGGTCACTTTTGTCTTCTTGAAATTATACGAGCTAGTTGTTGACGTTGATATGTGATTCGGGGTACTTCTCCATCGAAATGATGTTGTAAAACTTTGGAGGTAACAGGGTAACAATTCAATGGTAATTGATTTTCAAACGTCGTCTTTAGAGGAAGTAGAACTTTGTCTCGATTTAAAGTAATTCTCGTAGTTTCTCTTTCGTTTTGATTTCGATAGGTTCGTTTTGTTCTCTTTTCTTGCGTGAGGTTCATTATTTGACGGTTCTAATGATCATTCGTGGCCTTATAGTCTTTTGAATGTACGAGACTTGTTGTTAACGATTGACATGAATAACGTCTCACGCGATTAATTGGAAGTTAAATAAAAGTTTGGATTTAGCAACTAACATGAGAATTCAGAACCTTCCTGCCTACATTAGGGTACATTAGGAATACGAGAAGACCAAAAAAACAGTTTCACTGAACTCTAAAAGCCTAAACTTCCTGTCCTAGTTATACTTTCCATAAGTCATAACTAAGTAACTAACTTAGTCCTATAATTCTATTCGTTCCAGAGACTAATTAACCCAGCCCATAAACCTAAACCAAACCGAATCAAACCCCGGTTCATTTTCCTTCCTAATTTTGTATTAGCCCGGAACTTTCTACAGTAAAACCCTTCAAAACCCCGGAACCACTCGGGTCAAGTCCGACCCGGCGGCCGGTTCTGTCGCTGTCGCCGACTCTTCCACCTGTTCCTTTTTCTTCCGCATCTCCAAGACTTTCCGGTGGCTGTTGGAATGCACCTCGCTGGAAAACGTCGGGCTTCCTGCCGGCCGGTACTCCGGCAGGAGGCGGCCGGATTTGAACCGGACCCCACAAGCGTTGCACAGCGTTTTCGCCCCGTTCGGGCCGCTCCGCCACTGCGGCGTCTTCTGGATACCGCAGTGGCTGCACCGCCGCTGCTGCTGGGTCGGGTTCGGGTTCGAACCCGACTCACCCGCCATTCCTGGCAGCCTCTTCTTTTGTTTCTTCCTTAGCGGCTCGCCGGGGCTGCGAGGGAAGAGCGACGAAATTGAGGGATGGATTTGAAGAGAGTTTAGGTACGGCGCCGAAGAGGCGGCGGAGGACGATGACGTCGGCGAGTAGGTGAGTGAGGAAGAGTCGGAAATCACCGACGACCCGTTGAACCAGCTTGCACCGGCGGTTCTGGCTCGTTTGGTCCTCGTTCTCGCCGGGACCCGGGAAGTGAGGAAAGGCGGAGGTGGGAGAGTGGTGAAAACTGGCGTCTTCGCCGGCGTTGGTTTGAATTCGAAGGGCTTCTCCGCGGAAACGGCGGCGAATAGGGCGGCGGCCTCCGATGAAGAGGAGGAATCGTCGACGAATTGGGAAACCCATTCCAGTTCCGCTAAATCCTCTGCCTGCGGAAAAAACCCATGAATTTTTCACCCAATTAGCCTTGAAATGGTGAAGGAATTCCCATTAAAGACTCAAATCTTTTTTCGAAATTATTAAAAAAAAAAACAGGGGAGAAGTGGGGAAAAGTGAAGTTACATGAACGGGAAGGTCGCTGGAGAGAAGGGAATCGGAGAAACTGGCCGACGAGGAGTTGGAAACCGAAACAGAGTCCTGTTCTTCTTCCTCCTCCTCTTCAAGTCGCTCCGCAGGCTCTTCCTCGTCCTTAAACCCGCCATTGGAGAAATCCAAGAAACAGTCGACGGAGAAATCCTCTGCAGAACTGGGGTTCAAGCACAGGAAATCTTCAAACCCCAGATCTTGCTGCAGCTGGGTGTTTTGAGGATACTTCACAGAAGCCATAACTTCCCTCCTCAAGCTCGATTTCAAGGCTCTGTCTTCCATGCAGTAGAATTCCATTTCTGAATTTCACCCACAAAAACCAACCCACACCAAATTGAACAACAGCAACAACAAAAGAAACAGAGGAAAAAGAAGAAGCAGCAGAGGAGGAGAATAAGAAGAGGTGAGAGAGAGAGATGGAAGGGTACCTGAAAAAGACGGAGGAAGCGACTGAATTGAGGGGAAGAGGAAGAAGTTCATGAAAAGGAAGAAACTTTAATAAAAAAAAAGCTCTTTAATCAGAATTCTAATGGCGTTGGGCTCCTGGCTGTGTGTGTTGTTATTGTTGGCTGGCTTCCCTTTCTTTCTTCCTTTTTTTTTTTTATCCCTGTCCTTGTTTTCTTGCTTCTGTTGCGTTGAGTCTATCACTCTATCTCCTTTCTTTCGGATTTTGGGTTTTATATTTTTTACACTAAATTGAATTAAATGGTAATTTTTTCTGGGTTTTGGAAATAATTAAGGTCAAATTTGGAGGTAATCAATCTAACGTCTGACTAACTGTTGGAAGGCCGCTCGTTGGCTTCTTCCACGGTTCCACCGGCGGTTTACTTTTCCCCGCGGTTTCCATTTGGTGACATTTGGACGGATTTCATTCAAATTCCCGGATTTTGCTGCCTTAAATATTAAGAGAATGGTGAAAACTTGAAACAAATTCATGAATTCTTCCCGTGGGGCTGAGATTTGGTATTATTACGCGCAAAAATGCAAATCTTCCCAACCATCTGATTTACCTGCTTGATTGATGGCGGGATCGCACATGTTATTTCTTTTTATTTTTTTTGACAAGAGGAACACTTGTATTGCATTGAAAATCACGGTTACAAGGGCAGAAACACACACAAAGCTCGAAATAGAATAACAATGGAGTCCAAAGTCGGAGCAATCTAAAACAAAAGCAAAAGCCATAAAAAGAACTGGAATTAGATTGATATCTAACAAAAGAAAATCCATAACAAGAGGCTAACAATGTGAGAACAAATCCCCTTGCTTCCACAACCAACAACACAGCACAAGCAAGGTTTCAACTCGCCCGAAACCATACAAGCCCATGGCAATTGAACTTGCAACACCATAAGTCGCCACCTGGGGATCGTTCCAAGACGACCCATCACAATGAATCTCATGGAAGGGATTACTCGGTGGTGGACAGGCTGAAACCGGGATGCTCTGAGTTGAAAAAGCCGAGGAAGCCGGAGGCAGGGATGACCAGGAACCAGACAGACAAAGAATAATCTTCACCATCTCCAGAACACCAGCGAAACACAGCCAACGACGCCGAAAATGACACCAGACCCCACTTCAATCGACCGGAACAGAAGCACTCAATCAAACTAGAGGTAGATGGAGGGAAGATTTTTGAATCTGCTCACCATAAGAGGTAAGCACACCAACATGGAGCAAAACATCCAACAGCAAAACACCAAAGAGGCTCTCCAAGCTGCAATTTTCGGATCTAAGGAGCAAGGCCAAACAAGATCTAGAATCGCAGAAATGACATTGTGGATAGAACCACTTGGAAAAAAGACACAAAAGGTCGGAAGATGCCAACATAGGCTGGTAAACGCAGGAAAAGCATGAAAAAACATGAAGAAGAAAGAGTTGGGCCACCGTCGGTCACCAAGGGAGCCGGCGGCAGCCCTGTGAAAAAGGGGAAAGTAGGTTTTCTTTAGAGAGAAGGGAGAGCAAAAGTTTTCAAAATAAAGTAAGAGGGGAGAGTCAATCTGTTTTTTTTTTTTTCACATGTTATTTCTTTATTGTACCAAATTTCACAACTATTTCAAACATCTATTTAGATTTGATATACCCGACTTAAGATAATATGATTTGTTTCAGTAGATATTATATTTCATTGCAAAACGGGTAAAATTGTAAAGTTGGAGTAACATGTTTCATACTTTCATCTCGCACCAACCTTGTGTGCCGTTTAGTTAGTCATGTTGGCTTGATCTATTCTGTCGAACTTATATAACACAATGAAGCATATTTATTCCTAGTTTCGATTTCACTAAATCATATTTTAACGTAATGCGGTTATCATTACTAACTGATGAAACATCTTCCTTGATAAATCTAATTTTTGTTGTAACCGCGAAATCCATTGACTTGATCGATCTCTTTATAAAATGTATCACGAGCTAAGCCTTGATTTTCCCAATGCCGAAAAGTGTTGACAAAGATTGTAAAAAAAAGGGTGATAACGTTGGCGTAGAGAGGTTCACAATTACATTGGTCGCTTCCTTTTCTCTTATCTACCACGACTCAACTTATTGGGATGCATTTTTAATGTGTTGTCTAGATAAAATTAGAAATGCAAATACATTTAAAGTCAATTGGTACAAATTCAAAAGCAGACTAGTTCGAGAACATATAGTCCGTGATTAAGACAGCAGATCGTGTAGGAGTTTAGTTATTTCTCTTCATTTTTTGCCGACTCGACGAAATTAGAGATGCAACCACACGAACAAGTACTCAGTTGACCAAAATCAAGTAAATTAGCTCATAAACACAATTTATCGTAATGACATGGTATAAAACTTCTTTACTTTCGGTGAACCGTAACCCTAATTATAATGGAACGAACAACTTTTTTGTGTTAAATGGAAAGATTTGGTGGTGTGAGACGAGTCAATAATAACTAGGAGGGTGGGGCTGCTCTTATTGCGCCACCTATCCCATCCATGATTCTTCCTTTCAAACGACTTTGTCAAACTCACTCGCAATCGGTCTCGCCACTCAGCGCGTGAACACAACGCGTCGACGGTTTCCGGTCGAATGAACATCCAACGGCGGCGAGCGGTGTGGAAGTCAAAGTCAAGAACCCACGACTGACTATTCAACGGGGCATAATGCTTTTGGGCAGTAGTAGTGACAAAACCCGACCAGCCCGGAGGGCTGCTAAAAAAAAAAAAATCTCATCGCGCCAACCCAACCTCCAAATTTTACAAACATGCATGCTGATAATAATGGGTAATATAGGCCTTGGTTGGTATCTGGTTTGTTAATGTCGTTGGATTGTGTGTTTTCATATGATTTTATATCACTTTCTTCCACATACAGTATGCTATAATCAATTGTTAATATTGGGAGTCGTGGAGATTCGAACACACGACCACTTGACCAAATCAGCTCTAGCACACACTTACATTTTCGACCATTGAATGCTTATAGTTATCATGCACTGAATCACTTATTCAAATTAGTGCGACTACTACGATTTCAATGAGTGTTAAACTAAGCGCACACCGCGGGTATAGTAATTATAACCTCATTGACGTTGGCGTAAAGGGGGGGGGGGAGATATGCTTCACGAGGCGATGAATGAGAGAACGAAGTTTTTTTTATTTTCGAATATAAACCAATGTTATAGATACCGTACCGACCGGCCCGACCGAAAGTATCAGATACCGTAACTCAAAATATAGACAATTATCGGCGGTTCAATCACATTTTTAGTACAAATTAAATACCCTACCACTCATTTATCCGATATAAGTTTCCACATTCATTCACGTAAACTCGGTAGAAAGGAACCGCACATGCAAATGCAATAGCACGCCTTTGTGTATGCCCACTCCACTTATTGCAGTAGGGGGTTGGGGTGGTCGTCACCTAGCATTATGGTCCGACCGATCGCCATTTTGCCTTTTTTCCACACAAATCTACAACGTAACTCGCCCGCCCACTGGGGTTGGGTCGCACAACGATACAAAAGGAAAGAAAAAAAAAGGGAAAACATACACGAGAAAAACCGCACTGAGTGAGTGACAAAAAGTGTGCGTGGGGTAAAAATGGTTGGTTGGAACATGTCCCTCGTGAGTACGTATAGGATCGGACTCGAGGGGCTACTACTTCTCTTCACCATTGAACATGTTGTTTCTTTTTTTGCTAATAGTGGATGGAATGGAGATTTTTGTATGGAATATCCTCACCCACACACACACAACAAAAGTTACTTGCAATAACTTGTGTTAGTGATCTATATATATATATATATGCACACTGATCAAGTTGCATGTGTTAGATTATTCCGTTTGATGCTCGATCATTACTATATAATGGCACTTGGGGTTGTGCAACTGTATGGTTCGGACCGGATCAAACTCATGAGAATTGTGGTGCAATAATGAAAAAAAAATTTAGAATCAAGAACTACTAGACTACCATTGCATTCAGTCCGATCCGATCTAAATATAAATTAGTTTCGGTTGGATGCGGTCCCATAAAAGGACCACACCTGACACCACCCTTAAGGGCATCCACTAGAATTTAGATGTAAACAATATCCTTAATTATAACAAGAAATTTGTTGGCGGCATAATTATTAAACATAATTATTATACTACTCAAAGTCAAAACCAATGGGCCACAAGAAAGTTGGCAGCTGGAAGGTTGATACAAGTCACAAGAAAAAGGGTTAGTTATGTTCATTAGGAGAACTGCACCGTCAATATAATTAACCATGGTTTGTGAAATCATTTTGGAGGTCAATCAAATAAGTTAGCGAAATAGTATTTAATAGTTATTACAATATTGGTATAATACTACTATCAAAATCCATGGTTATGATCACATCTCATTGTCGTTCTAAATATGTAAAATTGAATGACACTAAATTTTCATATTATTTGGATATTATATTAATTTGGATAACACTATCTAATTTTCATAGAATGGTAAGATTGTCATTGCTGCCTTGCCATGGTCACTTAAACAAAGCCAAAGATTAACATGGAAATGGGCCGGGCATGTCGTTTTGCTAGTTTAGCAGCCGCGTTTCTTTGCTTCAAAGGCACCCCCAATGGATCAAAATAAACAATTATATGTAACTCCAACTACAAGTCTGTCTATTTCTCTTTTGGTGGGATAATTGTAACGATGATTGATGAATGCAAGTGCTGGTACTACTTGCTGCTGTTGGCTGTGGCTGGGTGTTGAATTGAGTGGGAAGTAAGGAAGGTTAGAGAATGATATAAGATCCAGCAGAACCTTCTCTTAATAATTCGAGTTATTGGGACTAACAGGTTCATAACATGGTGTTAGAGCCTGGTTTGACCAAGTGGTCGTGTGTTCGAATCTCCACGACCCCAATATTAACAGTTGATTAAAGCACAAGACATGGTGAGCCTGTGCAAACTTCAAGCTTATGAGTTGACTTTCGTTTGAAAGGGCGTGTTAGCGAATGATATAAGATCACCTAAAAAAAAGTGAGGAAGGAAAGGAAGAAAGAAAGCTCGAAGCTCTCTCGAGCTTATCCAAACAAAAGCTCAAAAGCAAGCTGCCCCTCTTGCCAAGCCATGCCAATTTCACTATCATCATCAATTTCCTACGTATTATATCTTCATTTCTAAAAAATGCCTCTCATATTCTTAAAATACTTTTGGCTTTGAAACGACCAGAGTAGGGATGGCAATTTTGCTCATACTCATGGGTTTCTTACTATCCAATCCAATTGGGTTGGGTACGAAATCCAAATAGATGGATATGGGTAGAGTTTGATGGGTTTGTACTCATACCCATTTACTTTGGGTTGAGTTGGGTTTATATCAAATGGATTTGGGTTTGTACCCATGCCCAAATACAGATTACAGTTTGGTACCCAAATACAGATTACAGTTTGGTACCCAAACTTAATAGATGTGCATATTTAGTACCTAAATTTAATTTTTTTGCATATAAGTCCTCAAAATATCTATGGAAAATTACGTTTTGGTACCTAAATTTTTTGGTCTTACATTTTGGTACCTAAACTTTTCAAGTTTTACAAATAGGTCCAATTTTTGCATGTGTAGTTAAAACACTCTCAAGTAAATGGATATCCATATCCAACCCATACCATTTAGATTATGGAAGTAATATTCATACCTTACCCAAACCCATCTATAAACCCCCAAATCCATATGCACTTCACCCGTATCCAACCCATTATCAATGGGTCTACTTGGGTTTGGATATAATTACCCATGGGTGGGTAATTTGCCATCCCTAATCAGCAGGCAACATCGCATTATCATACACTCTCTCGAATTTGTTTACGGGTTGAAGTTTGCAGAGTTTTCGTTGTATTGAGTATGAATCAATTGTTAGCAGCATCATGCGATTACTAGGAGTATAAGGCATGAACTTAAAACTTTAATATATGCACTTAATTATGACTCGAGTGATTGTAAGAGATAGTATATACATCAATCTCGTCAACTTAGCACAACCATTCTAATGCGGAAATATTTTGTTTGATTGATTTGTAACTTTTTGGACCCTCTAGAATATTGTAGTTGGGAAGCCGGCTGGAATATGGAATGGGTGGGTTAACCGGCCGGTAACTAATCAACCGGACTGCAATGACATCCCACCAATTCAAAATCCGACTCTTTTTAAGCAATATTGAGGAGGAGTCATCCATCTTAATCACCGAAAATTAAACAAACCCACTTTGGCTCTTTTTGGGATTTTGAATTTGAATCAAAGCAAATAGTATATCTTGCTTTATCCTCTCTCTAATGAAACCAAAAGCATAGTTTCTTTCCAGAAAAATCTATGTGAAATGGTTGCTTGCCAAATAAGACAACATTTTAGGGATCACCATGAGTATATATATAAATAGAACATGATTAAGTTAACTGGCTACTGAAACAACGAAAAGTTGCTCTAACTAATATGCACTGTAGACTTTGATTTGTGTAATAGTAATACAATGCAAAAGGGAAGTTCTGAGGTTTTGAATTGTTTTTCCCTCTTGAAATCTTATCTGTACTAAAAAATAAATCAACACTTATATTGATAATATACTAGGTATTTAGTACTTTTACAATATCAACCCGGTTATGACAATTAATGTAATTTGAGCTGGATCTTGTGGAGTTAAGAGTTTCAAGTTCAAACCATTAGAGTCAATGTGGACATAACCTTCTCATCAAGCGAGATCATGTCACCAGAGCACCTCCTCGTGGTCACGAGACCACATGCCAAGAGTCGAGCCACCTAGTTCTCGCACGTGTTTAAGGTCCTCATCATCACTAGCATGGTTGTCACGACACGAGATGTCGCATGGCGAGGGCACAATGCGAGGATGGAGGCTCGTCACAAGGTAGGCATCGAGTTCATGGAAAGTGTTGCGACAGTTGAGAAAAAAACTGCGACTCGTCCAACATTTGAAGCCACTTTCGAGAAAAAGGAACGGGGGAGGGGGATAAGTTCTTTTCGGGATTCATCAATGCGATGGTCGTTTGCAAGGATTTCCCACTTTATGGCTATAACCAGATGAACCAAAGACTAAAGAAATGTTCAGAAAACCAACAACTCTATGCATACATCAATGTATTTTTTGTACCTTTTTCTTTGCAAGTAGGTCATAATCATTGGAGCATTAGTCGTGTTCAAATACGAGTTTTATTAGTAGGAAAATCATTCCAAACCCTTTATAACCCTGCATTTTATGGAGAATAGATAAACGGAGTCAATGATAATCAAAGGGGTCGTTTGGAAGTTGCAATTGTTTTGTTTAGATTGTCATTATGCATGTATTGTTTACAATGCATCATTTTTTTTAGCAGAAACAATACATGGATTGGTTCTGTGATGTGACAGAAACTATCACTCATTTTGAGTGATTGTTATATCTCAACTTTTAGTTGTGATTGTTGAGATTGTTTAGTTGAGATTGTTTTGTCTCAGCTTTTAGCTGATGCGACATACACAATCACACATACCAAACGTTGTATTCTACAATGCATCAAATTCGACAATACATGTATAATATTATACATCCATTCTCAACAATACATCTATTTAACAATCGCAACTTCCAAACGACCCCAAAGATTGCATCAACTCTTCGTAAACAAAGGCAGAACTAGTCATATAGTAGGACCCTCCTTATTAACTTTCAAGCTATAACACGTAAAAATCTTGTAACAAATACGAGACATATCACACTGGGTAAGGTTCTAGCAGGCCATGCTCTTCTGTTTGGGTTTGAATCTCCTAACTTATTTTTTCAAGTCTCAACTGAAACACATAAACCTCGCCTGCATGCATATTTATATATTTCCTTGTGTTTGCTTGACCGGTCTCAACAGTTCAATAGGAAAAAAACCAAACCACTTTTTAAAATGTTTCGGTTACACAGTTCTTTCAAACTTGAGGCCAGCCTGAAGTTTAGGTAAAAGCAGTGGACTCCCTCTTTTATTTAATGAAAGAAAAGATCATCTACACAAGTAAAGAATTCATTCATATTGGTAAGTAATAAAGATGGGTTGTTCACCTAACTATGCCAAGCATTCCACCCATCTGCTATATGCTGCATCAGTAACAGTGTCCATTAGTTGAAACTTGAAACTATCTAGAACCCCACTTGGCTGAAAATGACTAGCAACATTAAACCTATTGATATCTTCTTTTGTCCTTTGATTTAATTCCCCAGAACAAATCCACCTTTTAGGTACTGAAATTTTGAACTACCTCTTTGAATTGATACAATCTGAATTCTGAACAGTCACTGAGCTTTTGGGGTTGATTTCCAGAAATCCCATCTTCATCTCAATTCTCAGCTCAGCATTTTCATATCTTTGCCCTTTGATACTCTTCTCAAGGCCAGTGTTGGCAGGCAAGGATCCTTTTTTAGGTAAGGATTTCAAAGTTGGGAAGGAGATAAATTGAAGGAAGGATCCATTCAGCAAATCAAATATTAAATCAAGGCACTTTATTGGTAGATTCCTTTTGGGTCAATACATTATGGTCACTAACAATCATTATGTTTATCTGTTCAAATAGGTATGCTAACTTGCCACTTATATCAAAACGATGGATTGGAACTCAAATTCTTTGCTTATTCGTATTCCAATTACTGTTACATGAAGCCAAATCATTAAATTTGGTGAAGTAACATTTTAACATGCACGATTCAGACGAAAAACAAACAAAGTGATTTCAAATTACAATCGCGTTCAGTAAACATCTTTATGTGTCCGATTTGTTAGGGATCTCAAAGCTAGTGACCATTTATGTAAAATTGGCGCATACCCTTTTGGAAAGCAATTGATTGCCACTTTTCATATCTCCTATCACACTCCACAGTCCACAAACCACACCCACCAGGACTTCCTGCCATATGATCTTTCGGCCCTTTTCTATCCTATCCTTCTTTTCCAGGCAAGGTAATGCGCAGAAATGAATCACCATTTTCCATTTTCTCCAAGATAGTCCAAAGATCAGACCAACAAAGTCAAGATAGCTGAGCAAAGGGACATGGAAAGTCGGGCAAACAGCAATAACTTTTTCTGTAAGGGTTTTGGTGCCCATTTATTGCATTGCCAATAAGCCTGAGGAAATGTCATGTTTCAGCATAGGAAGAATAGTCGATCACTGTTCTCACAACCAAGGGAATCCTAACAGAATGAGATGAGGAATCATCATCACCATAACCATCTTCCCAAATCAAGTGTCCAAATGTATACCTCCCCTGGATCATCCTCTTGGCATGAAAGGTGACCCAAAACTCGACCTTCTTCGTACGCGAATCAAACACCAAGATCGATGGCTCCACCGTGACACGAACCCCATCTGGAGCACGAACTCTAGCAATGTAGACCGAATCCACAGGACCGACATTCGTGACAGTTCTCGTCACGGTCAGGTTCTGCCTCAGCTCAGGGATGGTGATGGATGGCACGTTGAGATTTTCCATCATGTCGTTGGTAGCAGCTCCTGGTTTACGGCATTGGGTTTTCTCTCCCTGCCTCATGCTGCTGACTGCCGAGTCGTTGTATCCCATGGCACAGAGAAACCTGACGTAATCTGAAGGACCCATGTCGTAGACTAGACCGGGATCCATGGCCTTGTTGGGGTCGATGTGTCCACCACCATAGTCGAATGGGTCAGCCAGCTTCTCTGGAGCTCCCTCTGCAATGGAGGTTTCACCATATTCATCTTGTGTTGAAGCTGTAGTGGGAAAAGAAGAAGTGGTAGTTTAGAGTTAGGTGGTAGGCATTAAGATCAGAAGAGCAAAAGTTGAGAGGGGTTGGTTTGAATTTGCTTGCCTGTTGTGATGAGGGCAGACTTGATTGCAGCAGGGGACCAAGTTGGGTGGATGGATTTGATTAGGGCAACTATCCCAGAAATGTGGGGGCATGACATGGAAGTTCCTGACTCAATCTTGAAGTCCAGTGGGTCATCAATGGAAGAAGCAAATGGTGACCATGATGCTAGGATGTTGACTCCAGGAGCAGCTATGTCTGGCTGCAAAAGTTGCCCTCAGTTTAATGACAGTTCATGTAATCATAACGATAACGTTATGTTAACCTAAAGTTTAATCACCGTTCATGTAAACTAATCCATAGGCTAAGCATCTAGTTCTAGTACCTTGAGTATGGCAGGGGAGAGGGAACTGGGTCCCCGCGACGAGAACAGTGCTATTTCCGGGGAAGTCTGGCTGCCAATTGCAGTCTTTGTGGAGCTAAACTTCACCACAGGTTTGGTGTTTGATCCAATGTAAGTGAGTAGAGATGTCCCAATGGTGAAATCCACTTGTGCACAAGGGACTCTATAACATGAAGACACATCCTTGGTTGGTACCCTGGCAAATACTAGCCCGATGGCTTCTACATCCTCCACCATTGTTAGAGCAACTGTGGCTGACCTTTGTGATCTAGATTGGAAGCACAGTATCACTTTCCCCTTTGCTAGAGTTGCATTCAAGCTTCCCGATTCACAACTCCTGTTGGGAACCAAAAACAGAAGAAGAAAAAACTCACTATTGGAATCTTTCTGCCACATTTTAGATGCTCCTTTGATCCGATTCTAGTACCCATTTGTCCCTTACATTCGATCCAATACCATTACTGATTTGATCTGATTCTGCAATACAACCAACCCTTGCAATTCAAAGATTTAGAACAACGTCTTACCTGGCACTATCTTGATCAGAATCATCAGCAGCAATGTCTCCTCCATAAACAATGGGGTGAAAGTCCTCCACTTCCTTCCCTGTATACAAACCCTGCCCCTGTTTCAGAGAGAGACCGCATCAATCAATTAACACAACCATCCCCAATTCCAATTCCAACCCCCTTTTTTTCTCAGAAATCACGAGACAAGAACATACCACAACAGTCCTTCCATTCCCAAGAGTGATCACGACGGGGAAATCCCGATCAACGGAACTCGCTGCAACGGTGACAACCCACGGAGCAGTATTAATCACGGTCTGCGAGTAAGGCCCAGAATTACCGCCGGAGCAAACCACGGTGATTCCACGGCAGGCGGCGTGGAACGACCCAATCGCCAGGGGATCGGCCACGTAAGAGGCCAGCGGCGGAGATGTCCCCAGCGACACGGACAGCACGTCGACGCCGTCGGCGATGGCGTCATCGAATCCTGCGAGGATGTCGGCCGAGCTGCATCCGCCTGTAGCCCAGCAGACCTTGTAGATTGCTACCCAGGCTGATGGGGCCCCGCCTCTGGATGTTCCTTGGGCCAGGCCCATGAAGCTTGCGCCTTGGACTGGAAGCCCGGTTGCGGTTGATGACGTGTGGGTTCCATGGCCGCCGGCGTCTCTCGGGGATAAGAACTCCACTCCGTCGCCTGTGTCGACTTTGCCGAACTCGGCCTCGTAGCCCTTTATGTACCAACGTGCTCCGATTAGTTTCCTGTTCTCAAAATCTCTTGTTACTCGAGCATTTTTTTGTCTCAAAGATTACTCGTATTATAGAGAAAAATGGGATACGAGAGAAAGTTATATGGTTGTATTGAGTCAAGATAGAATATTGATCTCTACCATTCTAGATGTATTGAGCATAAGTCATTTGAAAAGCTTACTTTTGAATGGATTCATATGATATTTCGGAGTTATTGCATTGATTAATGGCCGAAAACTCTAACAAATCGAAAAGTAAATTAAGATTCAAATATCTTACATATACCTATTTTTAGATAAATTTATGTTCATATAGGTAAAATGCATCAAATAAAACAATTGGTGTCGGCCACATTATATAAGCAATTGATAATTTCATAGGTCTTTCTAAATCGAATAATTTAGATGACAATGAATTATAATACAAGAACGGAAAAAGGGCTGGAATTTGACTAATGACAATTAAATTCATGCAACTTGACCAACTCGATCTAACATACTAGATGTTAGTGAAAATTCGGACCATGAAAATCACAATGAATCACATTTCTAATGAATAGTCATGGTGAGAATTTGGTCACACTGACATTGGAACTAAATGATTGACGACAAATATGAGTCCAAACCTGTTACAGTGAGAAGTATTGAACCCTTGTCCTTCCTGACAAATGCCTTTCCAACGAGATGGCGCCTCTGCCATACCATCATCTACGAAGCTTTTTGATTCTGGCCATATCCCTAAATCCAAAAGAAAGTTTTGTCACAAGAAACCAATAATGCAAACAAAAAACCCAGAATCTAACTTGTCTTCTTTTTTTTTTACAGCATCATTTTCCACTGACCTGTGTCCATGACACCAACAATGGAGCCAGCTCCAGAATGGCCTCTTGAAGCAATCCCATTCTGGAGCTCAGGTTTTACCTTCAGATAATCCCAGCTCCTTGTTGTCTGAGTAGTGAGGATTCTGTTTCTGGCCACCCAAACAACTCCTGGGGAATCTGGGATTGGATGTAGGAACCACACATGATCAATAATCAGATTTCTCGAAACTCAAAATTGTTTCACCAACAACATTGGTAACAAGTGACCTGCAATAAGCTTGGCTTGTGACTTGGTCAAGGCTGCAGCAAACCCTGAGAACCCATGCTTGTAGCTGTAAAGAATGGATTCCTCTGCAGCTTCTTTGCTGTTCTTCAAAACCCACCAAAAATAAGTTTTCAACTTTGGAAGCTTTTAAGTTGAGAATGATGGATGAAAAACTTGAGCAGAACTAATAAACCTTCCAACAAAACTGGACACAAGCTCATGGTGGGAGTCTTGAACTAGGTCGGGCTCGTCCTGCTGCTGCCTTTCACCCATGTACACAATGTAAACCTTCAAAACGAACCATAAATGGTTCAGTTGCAGCATAAAAAAGAATCAGAAAACAAAACAACAGAAGATCAAAGAAGAGCCATACATTCGTTCTGGCAACTGCAACAAGAGTGCTGATGTGGAGAAGAGCAAGGAGAAGGAGATGAACAAGACCAATCCTGCTGCAACATCTAGCAGAAGCCATTGGGGAGAGAGTGGTGAAGAGCACACTTACAAAACAGTGGTTGGTGGGTTCTCACTTCTTCTTCTTCTGCTTCTGGGTTTTTCTTTTCGTTGGTGTTGGTTGTTAGTTGGATTGAGTGGGAGGGAGTGACCAAAGGGCACTTTCTCCACTACTACAGAACCCCCAACAGTAGTATTTTTTTTTATTATGACTTTGAATGGTTGTTACAGTTGTCTAGTTTGGTTCTTTTATGTGGTAGTAGAATCTAAGGTTGAATGAAATTGGACATAGAGATGGGATTCTTTTGGTCAAAGGTGAAAAACATAGTACAATGTTTTATTTTATCCATGTTGGAAGCAATGTCTGTCAATAATGGAATGCATGTAGCTGTGCCCCCAATGGTTATATTATAATTCTTTATTAGTTCGAATCTTATTATCGTCGTAGTAAAGAATACCACATACGAAGAGTAATAGTTAAATTAAGTATTTTTATATGACTACAAGATAATATAATGAATCAGACGAACATGATGATCATGATTTATCTTAAATTCCACTAGTCAATTCTATGAATATTTTTAGAGTGGTTAAAAACTGAATGTCGATTTTTTCAGCCAGCAAAATTGAATGATAAACTATTCATTTTCATACATTGAGTACGAGAAAGGGAAATAACATCCACAAGAAAAAAGAGTGGGTAAAAAATTGCTCATGATAGCTTGCTTTCCCCCACCCGTCATGGACAGTCCCTATCACCACTGAGTTGTTATATTCACAGTAACTTGAATGGGCAACTCCAACTACAGCCGACCACCTACTCCAGAAAGAGCAATGTGGAGCTATTTGCTAAATATGCTTCTTTTTTGTTGATCACTAGAGCATGAATACCATAATGGAAGAAAAGGCAGCAAGCAGCAAGCAGCAAAACCATGAATAGCATTTCTTTTCATGCGTTATTAAGTTCAAAAATGTGACGTCCAATCAGGAGCATTCCCGCCATAGTATGTGAGAACCGGGAAAACAAGTTACTATATGATCCAATGCTCAACAACCCAGAATGACATTATTGCTAGATTTTCTGCAACGTGAAGGACTGAAGGTAGTAAAGTGCCAAAAAATGCCGGGGGAAAAAAAAAACTATGACGAAACATATGAAGGAGCCGGAAGGAAAGGGAAAGGTGCAACAGAAGCATACGCCACTGGTGCACGGACTCGTGTGCCGAAATTTGAACCGTCCAGTAGTTCCTTCTTCTTTGCATGGCTTCGGCTTCGCTCGTCTTCTCTATCTTCTACTTCCACACTCATAGAAGATGAAAGCTCATCAGTTGACATCTCTGTTTGTCGGTGAAGGAGAATCCCGGCCATGAATATGGGAAGGTATAGAAGGCTGGCATGAAACATCTTCCTGGCCTTCTCTGTGGTTGGTTCCCGGTAGAATGAAAATGCCGAAGCAGCGATTGCTAGAGTCAGAACGGATGATTCCAGGCAAAACCACCCAGAAGCCATACCCACTGCATTCACCATTTAAAACCCCCGAGATGATACAATGAGATTGAGTACATTGCAAGGCACTCAAATTCTAATAGGAGCACTGAGAGGTCACAGGGTAGAATATCAAAATAGAGACAGACATCAGCAAGCTTGAATTTGGCACAGTTCTAAAATTTAACGGTCAAGACTTAACTTGACCTCTTTGATCATAGGTGTAAAAGATCATGAACGCATGAAACATGGAGCAAGAATGAGAAACACGTTCAAGACAGATATGCATGGTAAAAGGTTTTCAGCTAGCCACAACTCACATTCATAAGCCATAAACCCCAAGGGCACCATATAAATACAGTTCCTCAAAGCCACCATGGCAGTTCTTCGGCCACTAGTGTCGGCAAGGGAGAGCATCTTGTACCTAAAATATCAACAAAATTGAGGAAAGACATAACTCATCTCCTCAAGGTAGCAAGCCAACTTTTTGAACGTTAAAAGACAGCAAATCAACAAAACCAGGGAATCTGGCCACCTTGATTCTTGCAGATGCAACTAACATGGCCATTTCCTTATCTTATTCAATTCACATTTCTCAACCTAGAAAAATAAATCCATCCGTAAGTGGACATCGGCTATGTACCTACCCTCCAGCAGCATAGTCGTGCCGACACATATATGCAAGTGCCATGAAATGGGGGATTTGCCAAAAGTAGAGTGCAGCTGGAAGAATCATTGAATTGAGGGAAATCTGACCACCAGAAGCAGCAGCCCACCTGAAATGCAGAGGAAAAATATGAGTTTAAATGCTATCTGACATGAAGTTTCTAGTGACCATACTAGTATGCCAAATGGAAAAGCAAAAAAATAAAAATAAGAAGAGATGCATTTCCTTTCTAAAGGACAGTTGTAAGGCATAAAAAGCATAAGTATTGCATCTGTGTCTTCCCCACGGAGAGCTTGCATCTGCCAGGATCTTAATCATGAGTTTATCACTTTAAATGAAAGGTTCAGCTTATTTTAGGATTGGAAGGAAGGAGCTTCTAATACTCGTTCAACAACCATTAACTAATAGCTACCAAGTAACCATATGGAAGAAGGCTCGACTGCTAGAATCAAAGTTTCCTCAATTACTAAAGATGGAATTGATAGATTCAAAGAACTTGTAGTTCTCATACCCATTATTAAATAAACACAAAAAGCTCAATATCTAAACCTATTAAAATGCAGAAGAAATAGAATGAGAAAGTACCCCAGAAGCGGTGGAATGGCACCAACAACTGCTCCAACCCACGTGTTGACAGGGTGGATCTGTTTCAATGGGGTGTAGACAAATGCATATAAGACCAGGTTGGACGCTGCTAACCCTGTCGCCATCATATTAGTCTGCAACAACCTTGTCATGCAAGTACAACATTAGTCACTCAGCTCAAAGCAGGTTAAGCACTTCCCTACTATCAGGGGAAGGACTGGTATCATTATCTAAGCCTACACAAAGTCGGTGAAATTATTCGGCCACCTTGCATGCTAACATAGCAGTCCCAGCCAAGCCAACTGAAGATGCAAAAGCCACTGCCTGGGGAACTGACATACGCCCGGAAGGAAGCGGCCTATTTCTTGTTCTTTTCATCAAGGCATCATTCTTGATCTCAAAGACCTACAACATACAATATAGTGTCACTGATATGACGAAGGCTATGATGCTGCTGAAATACAAGAACTTCAATGGACAATGATAGAAGTAAGTGCGGAAATTGTCAAATTAGAAATCCCAACTTCTCAGCTTAATTATTTCCATAATTCCATTAGTCACATTTTGAGGTATTTAGAAGCTCCATCATGGAAGGGATTCCAAAAACAGCACCAAGCAAAGAACTTTCACATTTATATACTACTTCACGGGTTCCATACAAGTTAAGCAGGTGTAGGAGATATGTGCACCTAGGCTAATTATGTGCTTTGCCAGATAAAGAGAGGGTAGTGAAACATCTAGTTAGGACAGACCTGATTCAACGAGTTGGCAGAAGCTGCAACCATCATTGTACCAGCACAAGTCCAACAAAGTCCCGCGAAATCCACTGCACTCCCACTTCCTAGAACATAACCCGTCCCAGAAGTTGCAACGACCAGCATACTGCAAATCCATAAATTTCCCATAACGATCACAACCAACCCACCCCTGAGTTCAAAAGCCAGGGAATTCGGAGACATGTGGGAAAAAGGAAAACGAAAAGGAAGTGAAGAAAGGGTAACCTGAGGCGAGCTTTGGAGAGCTCCCAGAAGCATTGGCCGTAGTGACGAGCCAATTGAACTCCATATGTCAACGAAGGGATATCAACGGCGGCAGGAGAAGGAACTGAGGATAGCGCTCGGATCCCATCTGATCTCCCCGGCAGAAACCCTAATTTTGAAGGATCCGAAGGCGAATGAGAAGGGGAAGCGACGGCGGGAACGGACGATAATGGGAAAACGGAATTCGGTACAGAACGGGAGCTCCTGAGAGTGGAAAGAGAAGACGGTGATAGTGCATAGCCGTTCCAGATGAGCTTGGAGGAGCGACTTGCAGAGTTTCTCCACATGACGATTCCCGGCAGGTTTATTCAGGCTGCGGCTCTGGGACTAAACCAGACGGAACTTTTTCATTCCCGCCAATTTCCGATCAAGCTAATCGAACCGGAGATCGTTGAAGGGCGAGCAGCGGACGGCAGAGACGAGAACCAGGTTGGGAGATCTGGGAGAGGAAAGATGGGATGTTTGCTGTGTTTTTAGGTCTTTGTTTGGCTGGCTCGAAATGATGATAAACTTCTCTCAGTTCTCCGCTGACCATGTTGAGCTTATTTTCTACTACCCGTACTTTTGTGTTTTGGTATTTCTAGTCCCTATAGTTTGGTACTTTGTGAATAATAGATTCAAAAGAACTTCGGAGTTGTTTGCTTCGTGGATTTGGATGATGAAATTGGTAGTTGGTACCTAAATTCATTTTATTATGGATTTAAGGAAAATATATCGTTTGCTTAATTTTTTTAGAGACCAAATTCATGGAGTCCACGAATTTTAAGGGGTCAAATCCGTAGACTTCATGAATTTTGAAATCTTATATGTTAATGTGGATTTGTAATATGCCATAAATCTATGATGAGATTTTACCCATATACCCTCATGAACTTTTAAAATTCGAAGGTTGCACTCACATTTACCTATTTTGTTCTAGTTTCCTTTGGGATGAGTTACCGTCACTTCCCCTAAGAGGGATTTGAGATTCACATCCAATGGCAATTTGGGTATAAAAAACAGAATTTATTATTTATTTATTTTTGTATTAATTACAGATTGGGAATTAAAAACCTAGATTAAATATTTTTTTTAATTCAAATCCTACAATTAATACGCTTATATATATATATATATGGGTCACACTCGTATGCTCCTGACGCATAGTATGCGACAGATTTTCCACACCATTGATTTAATCTGTTGCCTGTATTAAATATAATAAATTTATTTATAATTTACAAATTAAAATTGCTTAGTTGATTCTTTTACATTTTTATACGTTTACTTTAATCCCCAACAAATTATTTCATTCATTTTCATTGTACGATACCTAATTTCTTTTAATCATAACTTAAACATCCAAAACATTTCCATCTAAAACAAAAACCATCCCAAAACTTGATATCATCACTTCAACATCTCTAACAGGCTCAAATAAGAAAATAAAAACACCTGTAGCATTTCAATATGAACTTCCCCACCCATACAAAAAAAAACAAATTCAGCACCCATCGTTGAACCCTCTCCTCTCATGTTCACCATCGTCGAACCCGCCGTCTACCCCAGCCCCGGTCACCCCTTCCACGCCGATGCTGATTGCGTCGTCTACCCCTTAGCCGCACACCTCCGTCCTCCCGCTCGCCGCCATCATCTTCCGGCGGTTCGACGCGAACTCTTCCTCTCCTCCCTCCAAATCGTCAACATCGACCGGAACGGTGGTCGGGATTGCAATCGGAGGTGTATTTGGCGACAATGGAGTCGGTTGCTTCACTCCACCGCCGCCGCTACCTTCCTAGGGTTCGACGCCGAACTCTTCCTCTCCTCCCTCCAACTCGTCGGTATTGACCGGAACGGTGGTCGGGATTACAATCGGAGGTGTATTTGACGACAATGGAGCCGGTTGCTAAGCTTCGCCGCCGCCTGGCCGGAAAGGTTGGATTTTTCCCAATCTTTTCCCTCTCTCTTCTTAATTCCAGAAGAAATTTCTCGTATTTAGAGGCTACTAAGCTGAAACAATGGTTTGCTAAGGATGGTAAAAGTACAACTTCAATTTCCATTTCCAGGGAATGGTCTGGTGCAGGAAGGACTAATGTTGTGAAGACTATCTCTCAAATCAAAGATGAGAAGCTTGGGATTTCTGAAAAAATAGATTGGATTTGTGTCAATGGAGCTGTGATATACATAAAGGCGGATAATTTTTACTATACATCTTGCCCTGTAATGATTGGGGATGGATAATGCAACAAAAACGTTACTAACAAAGGAGATAGGAGGTGGCGGTGTGATCAATCTGTTGATGAATGTGATCATAGGTACATACTCTCGCTTCAGATAGAAGATCACACGGGCTTAACATGGTTAACTGCTTTCCAGGAATCAGGTGAGGAGCTTATGGGAATGTCCGCCGAAGATCTTCATTTTATGAAGTTTGAGAAACAAGATGACGATGGGTTTCTAAAAGTTCTTCGGCAAATTATGTTTATATTCAAGTTGAAAGTGGAAGAGGAAACATTCAGTGATGAACACGTCTAGTGTTGTCAAGGCAGAGAAGATGAACTATGGATCCCTATCCAAAACCCTTCTGGATTTGATGGAAAACTTCAAATCTGGGAACCTGACTGCTTCACCGCACCAGGTAGAAAGTAGTTCCACAAATTCTGTGTTGAGTACTCCTAGAAAGGAGAATTTCGGAAGTGGGCAAACTGGATTGAGTTCAATGCACTTGCCAGCTAATCAAGTAAATAAGTACAGTAACCAATATAACTCAAGGTTTCCTACATCGACTGTATCTGAGGGACCTATCATTTGTAACAGCTGTGGAGCCACAGGCCAATAGAACGTTGGATGGAGCTGATGCTAGGGGCGGCAGAGGAGGAGGCGGCGGAGCTGATCATGTATAGTCTTATTCAAGTTTTTGTTTTGTACAGTATCACTATATCAAGGCGATCTGAATGTTTCAAGACACAACTTCATTTACTTGTGGAGCTGGGCCTTCTGATTTAAGAAGATAATTGATGTTAAGACTGATTGACATCATATATCATTCACAGCACTCGTTTGATGAACACAAAATGCTAAAGAAATAATTATCCAAAATTTAAACTAATACAAAACTTGCATAGTTGATCACGTTTTTAAACTTGTATTCCAGTAAGCAAAATCCCATCAAAGTTGGCCATCTCCCACAAGAGGTAGCATCCATCATAGTAGTGCAGGCTAGCAAATCCAAGCAATATTTCCTCTCATGTTTCAAATTTCTGTCAAGAAAACATCACTAGTAAGTGAAGCAACATGAATTACCTCGACCTGCAACTTAGACCATAGAAAAGTGCACCATTGAATCATTATATCAACCTCCTTGTTCTATCAGTCCAATGGAAAATGATAAAAAAGCAACTTTGTCTCAGGATTGGATATGGAGGCAGAGGGAACATGAAGCATCATCAACTGAAAGAACATGATCATAGTCTGATTCTAACAACACCATATCATTCCATGACAACTTCCAAAGTTCCATCAACGAGGTAATAGAAGACTCATTTTTTCATTTTATCGACATAGTTGTATCTTGGGGGAAACTAAACCAAGCTTAAAGAGGCAGGATTGACAGGATCTTAGATGAGAAATCTCACACTAGTCATTCAAAGCAGATTGCAACTAATTTTTTTAATTCCTTTATCCTAATTCAATCCAAGAAACAAATAGGGTAGATACTGCAATATACTAGGATAAGCCAAATCAGGAGCATAATTTTAACTCACCATTGACACTAAACTTTCCATGCAACTCTGTTCACCTTTATGATAATCTCTGAATAAATGGCGATTGTGGCTTTAACATTTTGTGAATGTATCTGTAGCCGTGCTTTTACCTGGACATGGTTTACAAGTACTACAAATATTTCACAGTACACATCAAGATCACCGCATCAAGAGGTATAATGGATTTTAATCAACTACCTTTTCCTTAGTGTTATCAAGACAAACTTTGAGCCTTCCTTTGATGACTCAGTCTCCGGAGGGAAGTTCCTGATGTGATAAATCCTCCTCATCTCAGGGTCCAACATTGGATACCCCAATGACGAACATCAATGAATCTGGAAAGAAGAGTTAAGTAAACTCCGACATTGAACATGATGACAATGTATGGTCTGATGTTGTCCAAGCATCCTGCCGAGAGATGGTTCTTGGAACCATATACAATAAAAATAAAAAAGAAAACCCATAATTAGCAATCAATCATCAACTATTACCAAGTACTTAAAGTTCATTTCTTACCTCGGTAACAATTACATCAGGAACCATATAATATTCGTTGGAGTTCTATGATCAATATCAGCACTTGTGGCCACAGATGTAATGCCTTCCCTAATTTGCTCGACAAAGTTTCAGGACTACAACCCCCATTTACAGATGAAGCAGCTTTGGAAAAACGAACAAACCTACAAATAGTAAGTGGTAGGAGATGGATTGAATGACTTTGCAGTGAAAGCATGAGGATAAAGAGACGGTGCTAACAACCACCTTAGTTCATCATCTGTCTTGTTGAGTAGCTAGATCTAACACGCTTCTCTAATTCAAATTGGCCTATGCAAGAAGGAAAAGGTGAATTTGCAAAAAGAAAGACATCACAGAAACAAAAAGAAAACAATAATAAGGGTGGCTGGTGACTAAAAATTATGAGGGTACAGTGTACTTGTCAGTTTAATTTTGAGTGGCTACGAGTCAGCTTCAAACCTCTTTCCAACATGAAAGTAGCCATATAATTAGAAAGGATTTAAATTCAAATATGTATGTATGAGTTACTACGTCATCCAGGTATGAACAAATAAACATGGCGCTTGCAGTTGGGTTCTTCTGGAAACCAAGCCACACCACTACAGCCAGAGCTTACACTATTAAGAGGCATAGGAGGCCATGTGAGATGCAAAGTAGAACAGAGGACTTGCATAGCTAGCCAGCGATTGATGCAAAGGCCGTCGGCCGGGATGAAAATCCTTCCGGTTCTTTACCCTGGAGGAAGAGACTCTCGGATTGTACAACATGGTTATAAGGCGGTGGGAAGCAGAGAAATCTAGGGTTTTGGAATTTAGAGAAGCGCAGAAATAAAGGGGAGAAGAGTGCACTCTTTCGACCCTTGTAAGTTTCGCGCACCACTTGGACCTTTTCGTCCTTACGCACCGGTAACGACCTGCCGGATTGCTTCAGGCGGAGATCGATGGAGTGAGCCGCGCTCATCAGGATCCGGCAGATCAAATACGAGGTCGTTAAGTGAGCCTTCCGGTTCTTGCGCCTAGAGAAAGAGACTCTCGGATTGTACTTCGTGAAGGTTGGAGGGCAGTGCGAAGCGGGTAAATCTAGGGTTTTGGGCGGCGGGGAAGGGCAACGTTATTGGGGAGAAGAAGAACTAGAAGCACTCTCTCTATCCCTCTCACTAAATGATGGGTTTTTAGAGAAGCAGGAGATGGAATATCAAAATGTTTGCCGCCAGTTCAAAATGAAAACAAATGAAAAGGCCCGCTGATTATTTTGGTTTTCCTCCAATCTCTCTCTCTTTCTGTCATAAGTTAATGCCAGCGGATTTTTATTTTATTTTCACTTATATTCACATAAACCAAGGTCTTTTCAATTTTGGCATTACTAATCTCACATAAACAACAGATCATATTTTTGTTGTTAATATGTATTTTTCTTGTATTGATTCCTATTTGTTTTTAAATATTATCTCTATCGTTTACATGCTCAAATTATTAATCCTTCAAGTATAATATTTATGATTAAACTTACTTTATTGATTTAAACAACGACATGTGGTTTTGTTCACTTGTTGGTGACGAAAATACAAATCTACAAGTCATACCACCATATGTAGTTTTGTTCATTATCCTTTATCTTCAACACAGTTTCATATGTAATTGGACCTCAAAATTTAGACCAACGTATATAATTAGGCTTTGTAACAGGGAAACAACAACGGACAAAAAAATAAATTATATGATGTCATATAAAAGATTGAGACAGCTCGGTTTCCAAACAGAAGTCAACCCATCAAATATGACTCGTCTACACGTGGGATGACTATGAGAATTGATCATACCGAGCATGTGATTGCCATACATCCAATCAAGAGGATAATGAAGCCTGTGAAAACCCTTTGGCGACTACAAACAAAACACGATTTAACAATTGTAAATAACGTATCCATATAAAAAATTGTATAAGACTACTCAGATGGACTTTAAAGTGTGAAATACATGAACGTTATACTCGGGTTAGCCACAAAGTTAAAAATTTATATTGATTATAGTATTGGGCTCAAATATGCTCATAAGCAACATAAGTCTAGGCCATATTTCAAACTTTTAGCAACACGATCAAAGTTCATATTCTGATTCTCATTTGTAGACACTGAGGAATTGAAATGTAATAAATCCCTAATGTCATATAGGTACGTCTACTTGATTAGGGACTTAGGGTTATAAAAGATGTACCATGTTATTAGGGTTATAAAGTTGTTTATATTACATCGGTGTATGTATGATATGTACAAGATATGCATGTTGAGTGCTAATTATCCTACCTCTACATTTCATTAAACCTACATTTTATGTAATCTCCAACACTAATTTTCTACAAATATTTACCGTATCATTGAACTATATTTTTTCCTTTACATATGTTATGAACGGTACAAGCAACAATTCCCAATATTTGAGATTTTGATCGGTTAAGGTTTCTCATTCCACAACAAAATATGAATGTCCATCGAATTTTGCTATTTAAATTATGAATCAATCGAAATTCGAAACATGATACTATATCGTAAATTTTAATGATTGCACCTGAATCCCTAATTCTGTAAACTCAAACCATAATATTCATATAATGAAAAGATAATAACTGACAATTCCGATTTTTCAAAGTATTGTTGTATACTACAAATCAAATTAAAAGTCAACAGCATGAAAGTTAAAATTCATACAATTACATACTAATAGTTTGACGTACACCGCTTACAACAAATCGTGATGAGATTTCATATTCTGACAACATTCTAAAATACATTCTATGTCCAAACTAGCACACTTATTTTGGTAAGTATATGTCTCGAACGCGTCGTTTACCCATTCTCATTCATCTGATTTTGAAGGTCGTTGTTTATATATTCCATGGATGAAACTAATATAGATTGTATATAAAATCCAAATGGTAGGTCAGATATAGAATAATGGGGGTGGCTGATGGTCAAAGACAGTTTTCTAGTTTTAGTTTAGCCTTGAATTCTATGACACCATTTTACTTTATAATGTAACGTGTATATGGAAAAAGCAAAACTCTAATCCGGCTGAGGTGGGGGATGGGGTATCTTCGGCAAGACTAGGATTCTGGTTCGAGCCGTATATCCTCTTAGTCATAACTCATACCATCACATAAATTTTTTCCAAAACGAACAGCTACGCTACTGTTGTAAATACTAAATATGCCATTTATATAGAAACGCCGTCGTTCAGTGTTTTTATCCGATAACACGGCAGGCCTCTGTTATGTATTCTTCTTCCCCACCATCTCCATCTGCAGTTTCTCCTTTTCCATTCAAATCCGGCCAGGAGAATTCCGCTTATGAGATGCGAGCTCCGGCAACCCCATAGTCGCCGCCGACTACCGAATCTCTTCTCCGGCAACCCCATAGTAGCTGTCGTCCCCGCCGTAATCCCGACACTGTCTCACTTCTCCCGAAACCCTACATCACCATACCAATCGCTGACGTCACCATAATCACCGTCTCTCTTCTCCGACAACTGAACGTTCCATAGAGACCCACATCCAAGCGAAATCTGGTTCCTCCCTGCAAGCTTCTGAACAATTGAAGAATCAATCCTCTTCCCTCTCCAGTCAAACACATTAAACCCCACCGCCGCCACGATAGAATTCGAGCCTAGGCTCGTAATTAAATGATCCTTACCACTGAACCCCCTCTCCGCCGAAGCTCGAGTGCCGCAGTTGCAGCCGCAGCAGCGAATTCAAAGCCTCTGCCTGGCATTGATGGAGATCAGCTCCAACTCATCCGCGTCACCCGGAATTCCAAACTCCAAGCCGGAGCATTCAATCAACGTGTGTTTATTGGTTGAGAATCAAACCGCAATGGATTTAAGGGTAGTAATTGGGGTTGCTTTGATGATGACGATGACCTTTGAGTGGATGATGACAATGAAGTTTTGATTGATTAACCATTCGAGCAAAATTTTAATGGATAAATTTTATATCAGTTTTATAAATTTTGGGTGTTGCATAATTAGAACTCTACGAGATTAGGTATCATATAAGAAAACATCATGACAATTATTGTTAGGGGGCTTTATAGCACGTGTAATTATTTAAGGGGTGCAAGTAGTAATTATTATTATTAATTTCATCATAATTTATAATGACCATTAGATTAGATCAACGGTGGAAAGGCCTAGAGCATGGTCAAACTTTCTCCGGCCGATGACTTTTTTCAGGTGAAATCCTCCAATCAGACTCGCTCCGGCCATCTGCAAAAAAACCACTCCTTCAGTGTGCTAGTGGTACTGATTTTCATCTAGTGGTACGCTACTAGTAGTAGTGTTATGTACTAGTGGTAGTGGTACGCTACAAATACCACTGGTACCGCTACCAGTGAGTAGTGGTACGCTACCAGTGAATAGTGGTACGATACCACTAACACTGATAGCGTACTACTAGACAGAAATCAATACCACTAGAGAATAACATAAAAAAAACAAGATATGGAATCTGGAAAATCCTAGATCTGGAAAAAAAAATTAAGGAATGAGGAAAGGAGAAGGAAGGGGAGAGGTCGTTACCTCGCGGCGGCGGCAAAGGAGGACGACGGGAGAGAGATGGAGATGACAGGAGTTGGAGGGAGGCGAGAGGGCGGCGACGGGGAGAGCGTTATGGCGCGGCAGTGGTGGGAGGCGGAGGATGCGGCGGCAGCGGCGGGAGGGAGAGATGGCGGTGGTGGCGACGGGAGGGAGAGACGACGACGGTGGCGACGGGAGGGGGTGCCGGCAGCGACGACGACAGGAGGGAGAGACAAAGAGCAGTTAGATTTCTCGGGAGAGGGAAGAGAGAGGGGAGAGAGGAAGAGTTTTTTTTAGGAAATCAGATTATATAGAAAATGAGAAAGGATCCTGTGTGGTAAGTTTTTCTCTTCCAAAAATACCCTTCATTTAATCTAAACCGTTAATTTGTAAAACCAAGAGAAAGAGTGGATCTAATGGCTGCGAAGGAGGAAGCGAAAATCACAACCCCTGTGGGGGTTGTGACGCTATCTAAGCCCGTTTCCTTTGACCTTTTCATGGAATGTTTAATTCTTAATTTGTTCCTCGGTTCTAATATATGTTGCTATATGTTACTTTGAAAAAGAGGATAAAGAATTGGTAACTGATATATGTTACATTAAAGTTTACAAGGTTTGTTAAACCGTACCGGAGGTCATACCGAAAAAGTGAATGGTAGGATATTTTGTATTAAAATGATCATAATCAACCGTGGTTCAACCGTTTGCTAGCACTAAAACCGCCTATCATTTTGAGTCCGGTGATCTTTATTTCTGGTCATACCGGTCCAATAGTGTTTACCACTAAAAAATCACTCCATACCACATTGATTATTTTCAAAGAGTGATAGTGATTTATAAGGCCAACTTAATCATATTAATTAAATTGGTTTAAGTTGGGGCTAAATGATGGTATTTTGGGTTTCATACCAGGTACCTCAACACACACCACTTAACCCACCAAACACACACCTCTCACCCCATTGAGGTTAAGTGTCAAGCGTTGACACCCTTCAACTTCAACCACCCCAGTCGGCATGAGGTGGGCAAAATTTGGCTAAGAATGGAGACCCACCACAAGGGGGTCAAACATGACATCATCCCAGGGGGGTCAAACATGATGTCATGGAAGAGGGGTCAAGTAACATGGCCGCCTACCTACCGTGCGCAAAAGGGGTCAAGTAACTCGGGGTATCAAGCATGATGACGTGCAAGAGGGGTCAAGCGCCAAACGTACCTTCTACGTCGATCACCCAATTAGGCATGACAGAGGGGAAATTGGCTAAGGGGTCGTTTGGATGAGGAATTCTAATGGATCAATCTGACACAATTGTCTCGTTTTGAGTCAATTGTGCTAGATTGATCCGTTTGGAAGCAGAAAATTTGGATGAAGCAATTTGGGCTGGGGAATTCTGAATTGACTCATTTTGAGCCAATTACAATTGTCTGGGGTGGGGGCAGGTAATCTGAATTGACTCGTTTTAAATGACTCGTTTTGTAAAATGAAACAATTGGTCAAATTGTCTCGTTTTACAATTGATCCATCCAAACGACCCCTAAGTGTTGAGATCCAATCTCAAGGGGGGTCAAGCATGACATCATCCAAGGGGGGTCAAGCACCAAATAGCATGGTAGCCAACCTACCTTGCACCCGGGTATCAAGCATGATGTCGTGCAAGAAGGGTGATATCAACTACCTCTAGACGTGGCAAGGGAAGAAGGCGAAATTTGGCTAAGTGTTGAGACCCAAGCACAAGGGGGGTCAAGCATGACATCATCCTAGGGGGGTCAAGCATTATGTCATGCAAGAGGGTTCAAGTACCATTACCGCCTACCTACCCTTGCACTCGGGGTATCGAGCATGTGGCGACAAAAGAAGGTGAAAATTGGCTAAGTATTGAGACTCAACCACAAGGGGGTCAAGCATGACATCATTCCAGGGGGGTTAAGCATGATGTCATGCAAGAGGGGTCAAGTACCATGACCGCCTACCTACCCTTACAATCGGGGTATCGAACATGTGGCGACAAAAGAAGGTGAAAATTGGCTAAGTGTTGAGACTCAACCACAAGGGGGTCAAGCATGACATCATCCCAGGGGGGGTCAAGCACCAAACACCATGGTTACTATCTATCGTGTGCTATGGTGTCAAACACGATGTCGTACAAGGACATCATCACAAGTAGCAGACATTTTATGCCTCATGGGTAGTTATGTCAGCCATTTATATCATCACATGGTAGACCACCTTGTCAAGACCCTGCAAGCATGATGCCACCCCAAGGGGGTCAATGTGCATCCATCAGACCCCTAAGCACCCTAGTGTCGAGGGTGGTTAGCACGAGTACCATCAAGCACGAAGCCCTCACTCACCAAGTAGACACCTCCATGGCACAAGGGGCTAGCTATCAAGTGCAGTTATCAAGGTGCAAGGTATCAAATGGCAAGCCCGTAAGGTAGGCAATGTGTCAAGCAGGCTACATCAAGTACCAAACATGGAAGGCAGCGGTGACAAGAGACAGTTACATGACAGTTACAAGTGATGGTTATAAATAGGGGAAACGAAGACGAAGTCAGGGTTCCACAACCAACCATTTGACACACAATGTCAAACTTTTATCATTTCTCTGCAAATTAGCCATAGTTTTAATTTCTGGAGGTCTCATCGAACCTCCATAGGAGTATAGTAACGTAACTTGTTCCCAAAAAATCATCAAAAACATCAAACACCCTCGTTAGAACATTGTTCGGAGAGGTGTGAACCGTGTAATTATTGTTGTTCAAGAAGTCAATGGTGCATTCATTGAGTTCAAACACCAGATTTTCCTCGTCGAAAAACAAATTGGCACACCTGATGGGACACTGTGTGATTGATTTGATGGCTCCACCACTAAGAGAACGAGAAGGTGATCTTTCACCTGGATTTATAAGAGAGCTAGTGGCTAGATATGATCTTGGCCAATTAGCAAAAAGTGACACCGGAAACAATGGTGGGGCAAGTGGTCAGCCTTATCCGGCGCCATGTTTAGGTGTAACCACCACCACTTTGTCTCTCCACCAGTCACTGGTGGTATAAATGCAATTAATGGAGGAGGCTATGGTGGGATACACAAAACAAATTGTATCTCAACTTGATTGTTTCCATACTCGTCTAAATCGACGTTTGGATCAACTGGATGAGATTTGCGAGATAAATGAAAATAATTGTAAGAAGTTTCTCCAACTTTTGATGAAACCAGTTTTGAGATCAAAGGTTTTGGCGAAAAATGATGTAGATCGACCATCAAACGTTGCTACCGGGGATACGAGAATTCTAGACTCCGGTGGCCGGACTACTCAGCCACGGTCAGAGAACTCATCGTCTCCGGTGACAAGTCAACCACCTCTTCAACGTGGTGGTTGTGGCAAGAATCTCGCTCCCACGTTCACCACTCATGTGAAGAAATTGCCTATGCATACAATTACTTTAGAAACTGCCTCAGAGGCTAGACCATGCCTTAATGTGAAAGTTGGTGCAGGGTCACTCACTACAAATGTCTTCCCACACGCTTGTCCAACACCACTGCTATCCACGCCCATCAAGCCTGGTGGATGCAAACCGCGAGGGGGGCAGGCAGAGGTGTATGAAAGCCTACCACCTGACAAGTTGGAGGTGAAATATCAGTCTGGGGGGGGGGGGGGCACGTTGACGTCAAGAAAAATGAAAAAAGAACTTTGTTTAAGGACTCACTACATTTTTCATCTAAGTGTGGCAAGAATGGCATGTCTCTATCTCCATGCAGCGGACAGGGGGGCATGCCATCAAACATGATGAATGGAGTGAGTGACAAGTCTAAGCAGGTGTTGGATACACATACCACCAATGATTTTCATAACTTTAACAACGTGTCAAAGAGTGGACACGGAGGCAAGACCCTTTGTAGCATGCCACCCATGAATGGTCGACAAAGGGGCATGTCACCAACCACAAACAATAGACAGATAGACATACCGAAGAAGCCACAACATGAAGCCACACATGTTTTTAGTAAGCATACTAATATGACTAAGTCTGGCAAGGGAGGCATGTCATCAACCACAACCAGTAAGTTAATAAGTGTGCCTAATAAGCCACAACATGAAGCCACACATACTTTTAGTAAGCATGCTAATATGGCTAAGTCTGGGAAGGGGGCGCGTCAACAACCATGAGAAAGGGTATAAGGGGCATGTATCCAACCAATGGACAGGGGGGCATGTCACCAAAAGTGAAGAAATGAGTGGGGGGGAAGTCTAGGTGTGTTCATTACACTCAAGCCCTCTATGATTTTCACCATCACGAGAGTGTGTTAATGGATGGAGAAAGAAGCAAGTCCATGCTTAACAGCCCTCATGGCATGCCAAACATGAATGACAAACAAGGGGGCATGAATAAAACATCTCGGCATACAATAACCAAACATGGTCATACAAAGAACCAGAAGGTGTTATGTGCTACGTGTAGAAGTCAGCAAGGCGTAAGGGTTGAACAGGGCCATGTTGACCACAAGGGTGGTCATCGATTCGTTGAGTCCAGCCAATCCTCTTCCCAACTATATGGGATGAACAAGCATGGCTGCGGTGAACCAAGCAATATAAAAACTCGTGGTCTCTTTCATGAGCCCAACGAGTTAAGAATACCTAGAGTATCACCAGAAACGAGACAAACACATCAGGTTCAACATCAACCCAACATGTCTAGCAAGGTGGCTAAGGCAGAGGATTGTGAGACCCCCTACAAGGCCACCAAGGCAAGACAAGTGGACCGGGCACAATCCATGGTTGAGTTGGAAAATTCAAAACCAACTGATAAGGATCCATCTCTTTCTAAGGAGAGTAAACATGTGGTCTATGGATGGCTTATCTGGTTTAATCCATGGACTTAGCAGTGGGTATACACCTTTGGCACGTTTGTGGTGGCCAAAGGGTATGGAGAACAGTGATGCATGTCACTCTTTGCTATATTAAAATAAATAAATAAATAATAGTAAAATAAGAGAAAAAGTCAATCATGGCTTTAAAAAAGAAATTAGAGTTGTAACACTTGCGATATGAAGACTTTGCCATGATTGGTAAACAACGAGTCAGGTGGTTGGGTCTATGGAGCCCTTTACGCTCGTTTGAGTACACCATGCCACTTCATGGCATGAATAGCTGACTGGTTGTCCGTCATGGACCATGTACCTTCCATGCCACCTGTCTAAGGATGCGTTGTTGAAAGAGGATCTGGTGCTACATGATCGGTTGATCAATGCAAGTATCTCAAGCCTTATGTCCTTTTTTTTTAGGC